TTGTCAGATCAAGAGGCGCTGCTTAATTGCAAGATCCATATTTGTGTACAAGAATTTACTATTTTAAACACGTTTTAAGTTTCTTGTTCTGAAAAGACGACTACGTATATTAAGAAAAAAGGCAAAATATAAGCCCCGCCCAGTGCCCTACCTCAATTGTGATAGGATTTAACCGTCGAGAGCCAAAGGAACGGAATTTAATTGCAAAATCCTCTCTACAAGAAATTACCATGTAAGACATGTTTTTGAGTATCGTGTTATTCAAAGAATACAATGTATATTAAGAAAAAATTAAAGCCCAAGGGTAAGCCCCACCCATACCTGTCCTGATCTAAATAGTAATGAAGTTTTCATTTGTTGGCAGACCTATGGGCGGAGCCTAATTGTAAAATCCATATTTCCTTACAAAAATTTACCATTTCACACGTGTTTTAAGTTTCCGAGAATGAAAAAAATCATCAAAATTGAGATGGGGTGAGTGGGTGGGGTCTATATTTTGCCTTTTTTTCTTAATATACATGGTATTCTTTGGACAACACGATACTCAAAAACATGTTTTTAATTCCTTGTAAAGAAATAAGTATTTTGCAGTTAAGCTCCGCCCTTTTGGTTTACGGTGAATAAAAAAATCACCACAATTGAGATAGGGCGGGTGGGCGGGCTTACATTTTGCCTTATTGATTTAATATGCTTAGACTTCTTTTCGCCACAGGAAACTTAAAACATGTTTAAGATGGAAAATTTGTATAAGGAAATATCGATTTTGCCATTAGACTCCATCCCATAATTGCAAGTCCATATTTCCTTGCAAAAATGTACCATTTGAACCATGTTCTAAGTTTATTGTGGTGAAAAGATGGCAAAATATAAGCCCCGCCCACCCGCTCTATCTCAATTCTGATAAATTTTTTTATTCGTCGTAAGTCGAGGGGCGGAGCGTAATTGCAAAATCGATATTTCCCTATACAAATTTACCATTTTAAACATGTTTTAAGTTTGTTGTTGTGAAAAGATGACTACACGTATATATTAAGGAAACATTTAGTAGGATGAAATTCCTCTGAAAATGCATCGTTGCCTATATTTGAACGATTTTTCTTTTCTTTTTTTTCCAATTGCGGCTTCGCAGCGTTGTTTTTTTTTATCACTGCGAAATTTTAATTCAAACCGGGACACCACCATTAAAATTAATATATTAATATTATTTAAAAAAATTGGTCTAAAGAGTTTAGACAGTACTTCCCTCGCTGTCGGAAACTTGACGACTGCATGGCTATTGTGTTTTTTTCTCATTACATTTTTGTAGTGGGAATTTAAAAAAAATTGCGATGACGTCAACATCTTTGCAAGGACACGTATATCAGTTGGGATAGATGTAGTGTAATACTAAGAATAAAATTATTGTACTCCCAAATTTTCGGGAAAATGAATTGGGTCGTTTTAAATATTGATTTTTTATAATCAATAAAATAACGAAACAATTTACTCACGTATACGGCAACTGAAAATCGTTTATGTATAAACAATCTTAATTTAAGATGACAAGCGTAACAGCATACGTGTGAGTCAAACAGAGAAACTGTAAACAAAACGACCATCGGTTTTATTGCTTCGACTTCCGCTTATTATATAAAACATTGGGTTTTATTTTAATTCTTGACGGAGAAATTCACAATTGGTTGATTATAAACATGTCTATTTCACATTCGCGGAACCAAGTGATCGCATAAAACAAATGCAGGTCTGTAATGTTAAAGTCGATGTAAATAAGCGTGCTACCCTTATGTTTCAACCGAGTTTTTCCTTTAACAAATTTTGTGTCTACCAAATTGGGTTGGTTGAGGTGTAATACTAATAATAAGTGTTGCCTTTAATTTAATCAATAAAATAAATTGACTTCATTAATTTTTTTGAACCACCTCTTAAGAAAATCTAAAAAATATGAATGGAATGATAAATCACAAGTACAAACTCATCATATTTTTTGCATTTTAGATAGGATTTATTCAGCAAAATTTAAGGGTGACGTCATCAATTTTTTTAGGAGGGATGAAGAAATACATTTTGAACAAAAGTTTACCATGCTTATAATAACTTTAAAATATTCCCAAGATTTCAAAGCATTCGGTTTTGTAATTCCTGATTAAATCGATAAAATAAATTCACGCCTTCATTAATTTTTTTGAGTCACCCTGCATATCCAAATCCAAAAATATGAATGGAATGATAAATCACAAGTACAGACTCATCATATTTTGTACATTTTAGATACGATTTATTCGGAAAACTTTTGAGCTGACGTCATCAGTTTTTTGTAGAAGATAACCAAATATATTTTGACTAAAAATTTATTATGCTCTTTATAACCTTAAAACATCTGCAAGATTTCAAAGCATTCGGTTTTGTAGTTCCTGATTAAATCAATAAAATAAATTTACGCATTCATTAATTTTTTTGAGTCACTCTGTATATGCAAATCCAAAAAATATGAATGGAGTGATAAATGACAAGTACAGGCTCATCATATTTTGTACATTTTAGATATGATTTATTCGGCAAACTTTCGAGCTGACGTCATCAAGTTTTTGGAGGGGATAAGCAAATATATTTTGACTAAACATTTATTATGCTCTTTATGACCTTAAAACATCTGCAAGATTTCAGAGCATTCGGTTTTGTAGTTCCTGATTAAATCAATAAAATATATTTACGCATTCATTAATTTTTTTGAGTCACCCTGTATATGCAAATCCAAAAAATATGAATGGAGTGATAGTTCACAAGTACAGACTCATCATATTTTGTACATTTTAGATATGATTTATTCCACAAACTTTTGAGCTGACGTCATCAAGTTTTTGGAGGGGATAAGCAAATATTTTTTGACTAAAGATTTATGATGCTCTTTATAGCCTTAAAACATCTGCAACATTTCAAAGCATTCTGGTTAGCAGATTAAAAATTAAATTTCAAAATGTTGTTTTATAATTTTGACTTTTTTTTCCAAAAATCTGGACGTTTCGGGTGAAAAGTCGATTCAGAGTTGTAAACTACATGTGTAGGACTATGTTATTTTATACAATTGAAAACCCATTTACTATGTACAATTTTGAAGTGACGTCATCGCTTTAGTGGTGGGGATGATTCGACAAATTTTGGTTAGCGTTTTACCATCTACATGATATTCTTAATATAAGTACAAAATTTCACAACAATCGGTCGAGTACTTTCGGAGATTATCTGTCTAATAAAATCCGGGGGCAGACGGACAGACGGACAGACGGACGGACAGACGGACGGACAGACGGACGGACAGACGGACGGACAGACGGACGGACAGACGGACGGACAGACGGACAGACAGACGGAAATGGGAGACCTAGTTCTTCGTCTTCTAGGGGTCATGAAAGATCGAGAAAACGTAAAAGTAGAGAGTCGGCCGAATGACTCGATTACAATACTTCCTTTGCTTACGCTCGGGAAGTAAAAAACAATAATAGACATTAAAGTTTTGTTTAAAATTACAGCCGCATCAAACAAATATCAGTTTTAAAAAACACAACGTGTAATTTTGGTGTAAAAATTTGCCATAAAGGCGTAGACAATTTTTTTCTGTGTTTTTATCTGATCTCATCTTAGCACTTGCTAATATAAAACTGACTGTAACAAATGACATATCCTCCAAGAAAATAGAGGGCGAGTGGGGGGGCTAGCACTTGTTAACATAAATCTGATTTTTTAATCACATACCCTTTAATAAAATGGGTGGGTGGGCGGGGCTAAAACTTGCTAAGATAAGACTTAACAATATTAAGAGTAGTCACTGAAATGAAAAGAGGGTGGGTGGGCGGGGCTACTACTTGTTCATAAAACTAGAAAAAAGCCAAAGTTAGTTCCAACCACCCTCCTTTCTCCATTTCACTGACTTATTTTATTTAATGTAAAATGGGAATTGAATTTTATTTTGACAAGCGGAAGAATCTAAGATTTAAAACAAAGTTGACTGAGTCTGTTGGCAAACCTGGATTATTATCTGTCTAATAAAAATCCGTGACAACAGACGGACAGACGGACAGACGGACAGACGGACAGACAGACGGAAATGGGAGACCTATTTCTTCGTCTTCTAGGGGTCATGAAAGATCGAGAAAACGTAAAAGTAGAGAGTCGGCCGACGGACTCGATTACAATACTTCCTTTGCTTACGCTCGGGAAGTAAAAAATCAGATTGAATTTCATTTTAAATTTTGAGACCAACATAATTAAGCTTCTAAGCTAAAGATGACAACTTATTGTCAACTTGAATGCTGAAACAGTTTGGTGGTCATTTATCTGACCTGAAATTATGTAATTTGGTTTTTTAATAGCATTTCAAAAAGAGATGGATCTATGTATATTTTTTTTTTATTTATTGCCTCCTATTGTTAATTTAAGAACGTCTAGAAATACATTTTGACGTAAGTATTTATTTATTAAGTTTGTTATAGGAATTAATACAACATTCATTGCGGTTCGTAGTGCAGTAGTATAGTATAGGATGGAAAAAAAGCCGTCTAGCAAGCATTGAAATGTATTGTTAAAAATTATGTTGGTAACACCAACGCATTCCTTGTTCGGCTTAACATTTGCAGTCAAATAACTGTCAAATAGCTGAAATTCTAAAAAATCAATTTCATGGCTTACCAGACGACTTTTTTTTTCGATCATATGTTCTACCATCGTGGGTATTGAGCTTACATTGTATGCATCTATTCTATACTGTAAGACTGTTTCATTGCAAGTTATTTCCACTTTGAATTTTTTAGACTTTCTTGTATTTAAGCTTAAACTCGGTGTCACGGTAGTTTACATCGCGTCGACTACAATATTTAAAAGTAACGATGGTGTTTAACTCATGCTGTGGTTTAAGCAGTAGTTTAGTTTACGGCCGAAGAAGCCAACATTATTGGCGAAACGCGTCCTCAATGATTTTTCGTAACTGTATAACTTTCTTCTTGCAGAAACAAAAGCTTACAACTGTAACATTTGCAAGACCAGCTTTCGACGCAAAGATAATTTGTATCGTCACGTAAAAAATACTCATCCCGGTACAAAAGTTGAATCCGCCACCACTACAGTGAAGCAGCTACTTATGAAACCGTCGACTAAACCTGTGGATAATCCCAACGCTATCAATGTTATCACTGCCTCTCCAGCGTGTAAATCAAAGGTGGACTCAACAGTGAAAAAACCAAACAACCGAACCGGCACTGTAATAAACGGACCTTTGAAACTAGCTTTTAAGACCAACGAGTTTAAAAATAGCTACAATATCCACAGGTAAGCGATTCGTATTTCAAGAATTTTTTTGAGATTGGATTTTTAGGGACTGCGATTACGACTTGCTACATAATGTGTCAAAACCGTACGACTTGGCCGAATCCGTCAATATATGCCAAAAGATTTTGTCTCCTCACAGTCCTCCTACCCGTAGTATAATAAGGAAAGGGAATGAGCCGACGTCTACAGAGATTTGCCAGAAGATATTGTCACCATATCCAACTAGACCTCTTCACTATGAGACTTCGTTTGAACACAAAAAACACGCGATTATCAAAAATATTAAATTTAAACTGCCTGCTAACTATACTAATCTTAAGGTTAATGATACTTTGAAGGATATATTTCCTTTGACTTCTGCCAAAAGTTCTAACGTGGACAGTGAAGCGTCCAACAATAACAGTTACTCTGAATTGAAAACAGTACAGAATGCTGCCACTAGCGTTATCGTTAACAGTAATTTGAATCAGAATAGTAGTATGCACTGGAGGAGGCGAACATCGCAAAACCTTTGTTCCAAAATCCTGGAGAATTAAAGACTGTTTGGATTTTTTCATTTCGTTTTAATTGCAGTTCAGTAAGTATCCGCTGCTATAGCGCGTTTATACAATTAATTTTTTTGTAATTATTGTGATTAGATTGTGATGTAAAAAAAAGGAAAATTGTATCATTTAAATAAAGTTGGGCTGTGTATCAGTATGGTAAAGGTTATGCAGTTATTTCAATAAATTCCACCCTTTCAAAGATTATGTCTTCAAAAACGTGGGTAGAAACGTTAAAATAATCTTCAATGGAAATGTACTTGATGCCGCCAAAGAAATCAAAAAGTGCTAGTTGTTCGATGTCTAACTTAGTGACGTAGAAGTTATGATCTAAAAACACACACTAAAAATATCAACAAACAAATTTTTTGTTTCTTATTACCCTTTGGCCATGACTTCATTACTGGATGTTTTGAGAACAGTGCGTTTTCGCCAAACTGATATTCAGGACTTTTCTTGTCCAACTAAAACAATGCCCTGTATTTTTGTTCTGAGTGCACTTTACTTACTTTGAGCATTCGCCCAGTAATCATCAATCTGGCGCATCGTGGGTCCTCAGGGTCATATTTTTTCCGGTCACAATAATCGGTTTCAGCTAATGAAGCTGTGATCGTGCAGCGATTGTCTTTCTAAAATCACTAGGTTTTGTGTCTGTTTAAAATTATTTGTTTCGTTTTACGGCAAGATCTTGCGATGTGGCGTCCAGATCTGTTAAATACAGATATGGGACTCCCGTGCTGTTTGAAGGTGTCCCATCACTCACACTCTGTATCGCGTTAAATGGATAGCCTTTTATATTTTTCATTGTGGAAATGGTAGCGATGGAAATCCATTCTTAACAAAATAAAACTGTCATTTGATAAATAGTCGCGTTAAAATTTAATTACCAGAATTGGCCATGATGTATCTGGCCATTTTGGCCGCTTCGTCTGGTGGGGGTGGGTCGAAAATGGGGCCATTTATTACAACAGTGTACCCTGCGTGGAGGATTAGAAACAAAAGAGCAATTTTGTTTGAGATCATCTAAAAAAGTGCAAAATTAAACAAATTCTCTTATTATTTTATAAAATAAGGTAATGAATTGGGGTGGAATACTTACTGTGTTTTTAAGTTAATCAGAACTCTGTGGTTTCTTTGTTACAACAATTTATCCAGCGGAGGTCGCGCACTAAATAAAATTACTCATAATTTGCAATTGTTATCACTGACGCTATTGGTTTAAAAACCCAAGAGGTCGGGTCAAATTTATAAATTTGAATTATCAGTGGGTAAATACAGTGGCACAAGGCAAAAGATCAGAAAAATAGAAAAAATTTAAGTTGTTATTGGACGGTTAATAAGATTCTTTAATCTCTTTTATAAATCTCTATGTGTAAATATTGTTTAATTGCGTGCTCGGCAAATATGAACTTCGAGATTATTTGATTTTAAACATTAATTATTTCAAATTGGGATCAGACGTAATGAGCGAATAAATTTGTAAATATAAAGCAAAAACTATTATCATCTGTAGTATATACATAGCGATACATAGTATGAAAATAACTGTCTATTGTTGATTAAATAGCATACGCAGTTAATCGTGTGTTGTTCCGATTGTCTATCATTTGACGGTTTATTTTTGACTATTCACGTAATCTTATAAAAATTAGTGTACAGCTACTATTTTTGTGTATTAAAAAAATGTTGTGGCTCTTTTAGTGTCATTTAGGTCAACAACGCTTTAATAACTTTTCGTGAACTATGCGTGCCGTTTTGAAATCTGAATAATTTCGAGGTTGTATTCAGGAAATGATTTTTTAATTATAGAGTTAAGCAGATACGACCCTGTTTGACAATGGCAACCGCCTATTTTCGTTCGAAGATTTGAAATTTAAGGTTTTACGGATTAGCCTTATATTATCCTCTAATTCTTTAGCATTTAGGGGATGTAGAGAATGCTACTACTTTTGAGATGGGTATTTCAATAGTTAAAGCACTACGAAAGCAGTATTTCAGTTCTAATTGTGAGAGAAACAATATATTTTTTATCGCGTAGAACTTAAAAATGGTAAATTTTGTAGGGAAATATAGATTTTGCAATTAAGCTATGCCCCTCGGCTCACAATGAACAAAAAAAAATCGTCACAATTGAGATAGGGCGGGTGGTAGGGGCTTATATTTTGTTTTTTCGTAATATACGTAGTTTTCTTTTTACAACAAGAAACTTAAAACTTGTTTAAAATGCTAAATTTTTGTAGGTAAATATGGATTTTGCAATTAAACTCCGCCTCTCGGCTCACAATGAACAAAAAAAATCGCCACAAATGAGATAGGGGGGTGGGCGGGGCTTATATTTTGTTTTTCGTTTATACGAAGGTTTCTTTTCGCAGCAAGAAACTTAAAACTTGTTTCAAATGCTAAATTTTTGTAGGTAAATATTGATTTTGCAATTAAGCTCCGCCTCTCACCTCACGACAAACAAAAAAAATCGTCACAATTGAGGTAGGGCGGGTGGGCGGGGCTTATGTTTTGTTTTTTCGTAATAAACGTAGTTTGGTTTTCACAAAAAGTAACTTAAAACGTGTTCAAAATGGTAAATTTTGCAAGGAAATATAGATTTTGCAATTAAGCTCCGCCCCTGGGTCTGACAACGAATGAAAAATTCATTAAATTTGAGATCGGGGCGGACATTCTGATTTTTTGCGGAAAAAATCAAAATAGTATAATAATATGTAGTTTGCAATTTAACTAGGGTTGTCATCGTAAGTATGCTAAATCAATTTTTTTTTTCCTTGATGTCCCCCTAAAAAATCATGACGTCATTTTACAATTTTTCCCTATCCCCAACTGTTTTTTTTTTTTAATAAGGTGAAATCTTTTCAGGGGCTCCAACTGTCTTTTCTTTTTTTTAGAAGGTAAAAACTTTCGGGGGTCCCAACTGCCCCTTCTCAGGGGTCCCAAGTCTCTCTTCAAAATGTGATATCTTCTCAGAGGTTCCAATTGTTTTTCTTAAGGTGAAACTGTCTTTGGGTCTTCAACTAGTTTTTTAAGAATGTGAAACTTTCTCAAAGGTCCCAACTACCTTTCTTTAAAGAAGGTGAAATCTTTTAGGGGGGCCCAAGTGTCTTATTTAAGAATGTGAAATCTTCTCAGGGGTCCCAACTGCCTTGTTCTGTAAAGGTGAAACTTTCTCAGAGTCTCCAACTGGTTTTTTAGGAAGGTGAAACCTTCGGGGTCCCAAGTGTCTCTTAAGATTGTGAAACCTTCTCAGGGGTCCCAAGTTTCTCTTAACAATGTGAAATCTTCTCAGGGGTTCCAATTGTTTTTCTTAAGGTGAAACTGTCTTCGGGTCTTCAACTAGTTTTTTAAAAATGTGAAACCTTCTCGAAGGTCCCAACTGCCTTTGCTTAAAGAAGGTGAAATCTTTTTGGGGGGCCCAAAAGTGTCTTTTTGAGAACGTGAAACCTTCTCAGGTGTCCCAACTGCCCTGTTCTGTAAAGGTGAAACCTTCTCGGGGTCTCTAAGTGGTTTTTTAGGAAGGTGAAACCTTCTCCGGGGTCCCAAGTGTCTCTAAAGATTGTGAAACCTTCTCAGGGGTCCCAAGTTTCTCTTAACAATGTGAAATCTTCTCAGGGGTTCCAATTGTTTTTCTTAAGGTGAAACTGTCTTCGGGTCTTCAACTAGTTTTTTAAAAATGTGAAACCTTCTCGAAGGTCCCAACTGCCTTTGCTTAAAGAAGGTGAAATCTTTTTGGGGGGCCCAAAAGTGTCTTTTTGAGAACGTGAAACCTTCTCAGGTGTCCCAACTGCCCTGTTCTGTAAAGGTGAAACCTTCTCGGGGTCTCTAAGTGGTTTTTTAGGAAGGTGAAACCTTCTCCGGGGTCCCAAGTGTCTCTAAAGATTGTGAAACCTTCTCAGGGGTCCCAAGTCTCTCTTAAAAATGTGATATCTTCTCAGAGGTTCCAATTGTTTTTCTTAAGGTGAAACTGTCTTCGGGTCTTCAACTAGTTTTTTAAGAAGTTGAAACTTTCTCGAAGGTCCCAACTGCCTTTCTTTAAAGAAGGTGAAATCTTTTAGGGGGACCCAAGTGTCTTATTTAAGAATGTGAAATCTTCTCAGGGGTCGCAACTGCTTTGTTCTGTAAAAATGAAACTTTCCCGGAGTCTCCAACTAGTTCTTTAGGAAGGTGAAACATCCAGGGTCCCAAGTGTCTCTTAAGATTGTGAAACCTTCTCAGGGGTCCCAAGTGTCTCTTAACAATGTGAAATCTTCTCAGAGGTTCCAATTGTTTTTCTTAAGGTGAAACTGTCTTTGGGTCTTCAACTAGTTTTTTAAGAATGTGAAACCTTCTCGAAGGTCCCAACTGCCTTTTTTAAGAAGGTGAAATCCTTTTAGGGGGCCCAAAAGTGTCTTTTTTTAGAATGTGAAACCTTCTCAGGGGTCCCAACTGCCCTGTTCTGTAAAGGTGAAGCCTTCTCGGGGCCTCCAAGTGTCTCTTAAGATTGTGAAACGTTCTCAGGGATCCCAAGTGTCTCGTAAGAATTTGAAATCTTCTCAGGGGTTCCAATTGTTTTTTTTAAGGTGAAACTGTCTTCGGGTCTTCAACTAGTTTTTTAAGAATGTGAAACCTTCTCGAAAGTCCCAACTGCCTTTTTTAAGAAGGTGAAATTTTCTTGGGGGCCCACAAGTGTCTTTTTTGGGAATGCGAAACCTTCTCAGGGGTCCCAACTGCCTTGTTCTGTAAAGATGAAACCCTCTCGGGGTCTCCAACTGTTTTTTTAGGAAAGTGAAACCTTCTCCGGGGTCCCAAGTGTCTCTTCAGATTGTTGAACCTTCTCCGGGGTCTCAAGTGTCTCTTAAGAATGTGAACTCTTCTCAGGGGTCCCAATTGCTTTTTTTTTAAGATGAAATTGTCTTCAACTACTTTTTTAAGAATGTGTAACCTTCTCGAGAAGCCCAACTGCCTTTTTTAAGAAGGTGAAATTTTCTCGAAAGTCCCAACTGCCTTTTTTCAAAGAAGGTGAAATCTTTGGAGGAGGTCCAAAAGTGTATTTTTTTGAGAATATGAAACTTTCTCGAAAGTCCTAACTGCCTTTTTTTTAAAGAAGGTGAAATCTTTTAGGTGGACGCAAGTGACTTTTTTGAGAAGTGAAACCTTCTCAGGGGTCCCAACTGCATTGTTCGGTAAAGGTGAAACCTTCTCGGGGTCTCCAACTTGTTTTTTAGGAAGGTGAACCTTCTTCAGGGTGCCAAATGTCTCTTAAGAATATCAAATCTTCTCAAATTGTTTTTTTTAAGGTGAAACTGTCTTGAGGTGTTCAACTGGTTTTTTAAGAATGTGAAACTTTCTCGAGCGCCCCAACTACCTTTTTTAAGAAGGTGAAACCGAGGGTGAAATTTTCTCGAAGGTCCCAACTACCTATTTTTAAAGAAGGTAAAATCTTTTGGGTGGACGCAACTGACTTTTTTGAGAATGTGAAACCTTCTCAAGGGTCCCAACTGCCTTGTTCTGTAAAGATGAAACCTTCTCGGGGTCCCCAATTGGTTTTTTAGGAAGGTGAAATCTTCTCCGGAATCCCAAGTGTCTCTGAAGAATGTGAAATTTTCTCAGGGGTCCCAGTTGTTTTTTTTAAGGTGAAACTGTGTTGGGGTCTTCAACTGTTTTTTTAAGAATGTGAAACTTCTCGAAAACCCCAACTACCTTTTTAAGGTGAAATTTTCTCGAAGGTCCTAACTGCCTTTTTTTAAAGAAAGTGAAATCTTTTGGGTGGACGCAAGTGATTTTTTTGAGAACTGAAACCTTCTCAAGGGTCCCAACTGCCTTGTTTTGTAAAGGTGAAACCTTCTCGGGGTCCCAACTGTCTTTTTTTATAGGTGAAATTTTCTTGGGAACTTCAACTGATTGTTTAAGAATGTGAAACCTTCTCGAGGGCTCCAACTGCTTTTTTAAAGAAGGTGAAACTTTCTTGGGGGTCCCAATTGAATTTTTTAAAAACGTAAAACCTCAGGGGCGCCAAATGTTTTTTTTTTATATGTGTGCACATAGCCATTGTTTAACACGTATCAGCAGTTAAGATTACTACTTATCCCTTAAAGAAAGTAAAACCCATACGTCCAGTAACTTCAAGTTCGCATGCGAACAAGGTTGCTCAGGCCCGGGTAGATTTTAGGAAGAATTGCTGGTTGCATTTAGGCCTACACCATGGCGCCTAATTCAAACTTACCTTAAGGATTTTGAGTAGCGAATAATTATATTATTTACTAAAGAGGGTGAAAGTCCGTTGAAGGAAACCCGCAGAAAAAGTGGCGGAATTATTAGATATTTGAACAGTGCCACGACATTCAAAGGACATTGCTAAAAATACATATTAAATCCATCATTTGATTTCTTTCCATGACGACATAATCATTACTACATCAAATGTTTATTGCATGATATTGCACACATTTAACCTTAAATGATGAAATAAGTCATTTTGAATATATGATAAGAAAGCGTTGTGATTTCAATCTTGCAAAATTGAAAATACAAGCGATAGGCAACTTGTAACACACACGTTTATTATGTGTTGTTAAGTTGGCAATAGAATACACAAATTCTCCAGAACAGGGAGTTTTTATTTTCCCCCATCTGTTTCCGTTTCCTTTTCGTGAAAGAAACGCAGCCATGAAGGCGAAAGGAGAGGTTTGTTTTCATTTTTATTTAATTTACTCCGTTTTTCGCCCACTTTTGTATGAAAATAACACCTATGTTTCACCTTGATTCCCAATCGTATCATAATTAATACTTAACCGCCCCACACTTCCCGATATCCGCCGCAACCCATACGTTACACGTGCATAACCACACTTGTCACCTCGCTACTGAAACTATTTTTTAGTTGCAAGAATATGAAGTCATCGGGCGTAAACTGCCCACTGAAAAAGAGACCAACACTCCTTTGTACCGGATGAGGATCTTCGCCCCAGATCCGATTGTGGCAAAATCTCGTTTCTGGTACTTCTTGCGACAATTGAAAAAGTTCAAGAAGTCCACGGGTGAAATAGTGTCTGTCAAGCAAATCTTTGAAAGGAGTCCCACAAAAATCAAGAATTTTGGTATTTGGCTGAGATATGACTCTCGGTCAGGGACTCACAACATGTACCGGGAGTACAGAGATTTAAGCGTGTCCGGGGCTGTTACACAGTGTTATAGGGACATGGGGGCGCGCCATCGTGCTAGGGCGCATTCAATTCAGGTGCGTTGTCAATGTTGTTGGATTTAGTTTTTTTGATTTCGGGGTTTCAGATTATCAAAGTAGAGGAAGTGAAAGCGGCTAATACTAGAAGGCCTCAAGTGAAACAGTTCCATGATTCGAAGATTCGGTTCCCGTTGCCCAAGAGAATCCAACATAAATCAATGAACCGATTCTCTGTCCGCAAACCAAGAACATACTTCCTGTAATGTTTATTTAATGGTTAAGTGGAAATAAATCATTTGTACACATAAGGTATATTTTTAACTCTGCTTTTCATATAGTCAAGTCCAAATTAGACGTTTTTTAATTTGTTGTTATAGCCCCATTAATATATAGTGCTAGTAGCAATGAAACATTCCCAATTCCATAGCAAAGAAAAAACGTGATCAAGTCAGCCATGGTACTTTGATCGAATTTTCGTTTTCAAAAATCCACCCCTATTTTTGATCATGTTTTTAATTAATTAATTGATTTTGACATACTGTCAAATGTGTATTTAAAAAAAAAACAAATGTTGAATAGGTTTGGAATTTTACTATTACAAAAAGCCAATTTTGGAATTCTCTTTATTAACAAAATAAGCTAAAACAAAATTCATATTTCCACCACATATTACTGAAGTTACATACAAAAAATGATTGTTTAACGGAAGTACATTGCATAAATTTTTGTCATGCATAAACATTTTACTTACAATAACATGCTTTTCTTAATGCAACTCCATTAGATCTGGTTTACTTTTTAATATTAGTACAGGCAATTCCATATATTATTTTAACCATTTACAACCACCAAGCATGGTTTTTAGTAGTAATGGTAACAGGTAATTTTAATAAATATTTCATAAAATATATAACTAATTATAAAATACTTATTTGCAATTAATATTTCAATATACCCTTTTGGCACAGAACTGATAGAGTTCAGTAAAGTTAAATGTACAATACGAAACACATCTGTAAGTCTAGCTATGTCTAATCTACAGTTTGTCTTGGACACTGTCATGCTAGGACAATTTATACAGCATTCAGGAATGATATCTTAAGTTAGAGTTAACTTAGAGGCAGTAGTAAATGAGATTACTAAGTATGGATGAGATTAATGAAAATAAATATCAGTCTAATGTAAGTAATGAGTATTAAATGCTAACCATAAATTGTGCATATTGAAAATTGGATGATATCAGAAAATACGTATCTTTCGAGTATAGTGATTAGAAAGATTTACATCAAACTATATCTATAGGTAAAGCTAATTATACACCCGCTTATTTTCTACCAAACAACTATGTTAGACATATACCACCAAGTTAGAAAAGACAGTTCAACTGTCAATGTTTATAGCCAAAGTTTTACAATATAGGTGCTTGGTACGAAAATAGCGTTTTAATATGGCACACGTTACAACACTTCAAGTGTAAGGATATATAGTTTGTACACAATCAAAAATATGTGAATCTTTTGTTCTTTGTCATAAATTTTTGATCTGAAAATAATTTGTAGAGGAAAATAGAGAAACGACCTCATTTGTACATGAGACAATTTTTGGATCCTTTAAGTACTTAGGCTTTGTATCTATTTGATCTATTAACCGCAAACGCAAGGATGAGTGCAAAGATCAGCCCCAAAACTTGTATAACTGCAATGACAATTCCGACCACCAAAATACAAAAAGAGTACTCTTTCAGTTTTGCCATAATGGCGTTGTAGCAGCCATGTTCATAAACGACAGAATAATCAATAGAACTTGTCGGTTTGATGTTTTGGGTCCTCTTTTGGCAAGTCTCCTCTGCTATATTTTCACGGCAGCAACTCATCGGAATGCTGTAGTTGTCCTGGTTCGACGTCACGGATACCAACACCTGCTTGCTGCCCATCCAGTCACTAGGAGCTTTAGCGCCACAACATTGCAACTATAACAACAAATCTATAGTTTCATACATGTGTTCGTGGATAATTATACATACGTTTCTCTGGAAGGTGTCAAAGATGTTTTTGCGATTTTCGTTTTGGTAATATTCGTGTTCTACAGTGTACTCGACGGCGTTTTTAACGTGCAGTTTAATGCTGTCGCGATTGATGTGGACCCAGATTCCGGTGGAAACTTCGGCCACGAAGATGATCAAAAGTAAGCAGAAGAAGGTTATTAACGCGCATTGATTTTCGCGGAGTGAACCGATGAGGCCGAAAACGGCCACAATGATGAGTAAGAGGGACGCAATGAGAATTATAACTACTGAGATTACGTAGTCTTGAGTCACGGATAGGGAGTAAGCGGGGTCGACGAGCATCCATATTGCAAAGACGGTACCGGCGATTCCTAATATCTGGAAAGACAGAACTGGTGGATGAAACATACAAAACAGCACATGGGGTTTTCTGATTAATGTGTTTTTGTTTGCATGAAAAACTCGGATCAACAGGTTGGAACGCCAATGGAGCATGAGCGATAGGATTCAAAATACGCAACCCTTCGAAAGCTACTAATAAATTGAAAATTGACTCGCCACTGGATTTATCTAAAATGTTGTATTTCATCAATAACAGTCCCGCGCAAAAACAACTAAATAAAATTTTAAATTAAAGTTTGAACTATGCATTTTATAAAATATATACAATACGGAAATTTGTGAACGCAAATGATGCGCCACTGGTCAAAGCCAGTGATGATTGTGATGAACTGATGACTCAAAATGTTCCTCTCATAGTATTTCCACTCTACATGGTTTTTACTATGACAATGTCAGTTTTTATAAAAAAAAGGGTAAATAGAAATAAATAAAAAACTTATTAAGTAAACGTTTATTTGGAACCACCTCACTTTTGGATTTTAATCTGTTTGGTTACTAAGCAATAATTCACTACATAATAGAATTTTAGTAACGAACAGAATATTCAAACATAATTTGCCTATTCATTCACTTCCAAAAATCCATGACGTCACATTAAAACAAAAAAATTAATTTGCCGATGCCTACAATTTTAATTATTATAACAACAAACTTCACATAAGATTAAAAAACCACAATACAATACAAGAAAGAGTGGTGGAAAGTTATTTCGACAAAGTTCCCTCGCCTCTGAAGTTTAGACGAACAAATCCTGCAAAACCAGTGGCATATAAATCGAAATATGTATTGGGAAATCGAAAAATTGAAAAATCACAATGTCGAGAAATTCAGAATTAAAAAATTTTAAAAATCAAAAAATTGGAAAACCGAAATCCGACCAAAATATCCAAAACTGAAAAATCCAGAAATTAAAAAGTTCCCAAAATTGAAATGTTAAAAAATCGAAAAATTGAAAAATCTAAAATTTAAAAACCAAAATTGAAAATTCTAAAAGCTGAAAAATCGAAAATCCAAAATAGGTATAAAAAAACTGACAAATTGAAAAATTCCAAAACTGAAATGACCTAAAATTGAAACAGTGAAATGACGGGAAATCGAAAAATGGGAAAATCAATTAAACCATAAATTGAATAATCAAAAAATCAAAACATCGAAAAATTTAAAAATCGAAAAATCTCTAAAACCAAGAGGTGAAAAAATTAAAAGATCGAGAAATCGAAAAATCAGAAATTTAAAATTCCAGAAATCGAAAAATCGAAATTTTGAAAAATCCCAAAACTCAAATACCGGAAAATTGAAAAATGGATAAAAAATTGAAGAATCGAAAAATTAATAAATCCCAAAACTGAAACATCAAAGATTTTTGAAATCGAAAAATAGAAAAACTGACAAGTCGAAACATTGAAAAGTTGAGAAACCGAGAAATGGAAAAATCGAGAAATTGAGAAACCTAAAAATGAAGAAATCGAGAAATCGAAAATTTGAATAATCGACAAATTAAAGAATAAAAAAACTGAAAAATCCTAAAACGGTAATTTCGAAAAAATGAAAAATGGAAGAAAAAAATTAAAGAATAGAAAAATTGAAAAATTCCAAAACTGAAACATCGAAAAACTGAAAAATCGAAAAATGTAAAATTTAAAAAATCAAAGAATTGAAAAATAGAAATATCGAAGAACTGAAAAATCGAGAAATCGAAAAATCTAAAATTTAAAAAATTGAAAAATTAAATACCGAAAAACTGAAGAATAAAAAAATCGAAACAGAAAAATTTTACCTTCTCAAAGCCAAAAAGTAAAAAATCGAATAATCGAAATTGGAGAATCGAAAAATCTAAGAGCTGACAAATCGAAACACTGAAAAATCGAGAAACCGAGAAATGGGAAAATAAAAAATCAATTAATCGAGAAATCTAAAAACGAAGAAATCGAGAAATCGACAATTTGAAGAATCGACAAATTAAAAAATAAAAAAACTGAAAAATCCTAAAACGGTAATTTCGAAAAAATGAAAAATGGAAGAAAAAATTAAAGAATCGAAAATTTGAAAAATCCCAAAACTGAAACATCGAAAAACTGAAAAATCGAAAAATGTAAATTTAAAAAATCAAAGAATTGAAAAATAGAAATATCGAAGAACTGAAAAATCGAGAAATCGAGAAATCGAAAAATCTAAAATTTAAAAAATTGAAAAATTAAAATACCGAAAAACTGAAGAATCAAAAAATCGAAACAAAAAAATTTTGCCTTCTCAAAGCCAAAAAGTAAAAAATCGAATAATCGAAATTGGAGAATCGAAAAATCTAAGAGCTGACAAATCGAAACACTGAAAAATCGAGAAACCGAGAAATGGGAAAATAAAGAATCAATTAATCGAGAAATTGAGAAATCTAAAAATGAAGAAATCGAGAAATCTAAAAACGAAGAAATCGAGAAATCTAAAACGAAGAAATCGAGAAATCGAAAATTTGAAGAATCGACAAATTAAAGAATAAAAAAACTGAAAAATCCTTCAACGGTAATTTCGAAAAAATGAAAAATGGAAGAAAAAATGAAAGAATCGAAAATTTGAAAAATCCCAAAACTGAAACATCGAAAAACTGAAAAATCGAAAAATGTAAAATTTAAAAATCAAAGAATTGAAAAATAGAAATATCAAATAACTGAAAAATCGAGAAATCGAAAAATCTAAAATTTAAAAAATTGAAAAATTAAAATACCGAAAAACTGAAGAATCAAAAAATCGAAACAGAAAAATTTTACCTTCTCAAAGCCAAAAAGTAAAAAATCGAATAATCGAAATTGGAAAATCGAAAAATCTAAGAGCTGACAAATCGAAACACTGAAAAATCGAGAAACCGGGAAATGGGAAAATAAAAAATCAATTAATCGAGAAATTGAGAAATCTAAAAATGAAGAAATCGAGAAGTCTAAAAACGAAGAAATCGAGAAATCGAAAATTTGAAAAATTCAAAGCCGAGGAATCGAAAATCCAAAATACAAAAAAGATAAATTGAAAAATTCCAAAACTGAGATGAATAAAAATTGACAAGTCGAAAAATCAAAAACCTGAAAATCGAAAATTCGAAGAATTGAAAAACTGAAACATTGAAAAGTTGAGAAATCGAGAAATTCGAAAATCAAAAAAACAATTAAACCAGAATTTGAATAATCAAAAATCGAAACACTGAAATCTCGATAAATCCAGAAATAGAAAAATCAAACATTTTAAAAATTGAAGAACGGAAAAATCGAGCATTCGAAACTATCAAAAAATTGAAAAATCAAAAATTTAACATTCTAAAAAAAAAAGAATATCCAGAAATTGAAAAATCCCAAAACTCAAATATCGAAAAATTAATAAATCCAAAACCCAAACATCGAAAGTTTTTAAAATTGAGAACTCGAAAAATTGAAAAACTGAAAAATCGAAACATTGAAATCGAGAAACCGAAAAATGGGAAAATCAAAAAATCAATTAATCGAGAAATTGAAAATTTGGAAACGTGAAAACTTAAAAAATAAAAAATCGGAAAATTGAGAAATCTAAAAATGAAGAAATCGAGAAACTGAAACATTGAAATTTTGAAAAAATTGAAGAAAAATGAAACAATCGAAAAATAGAAAAATCCCAAAACCGAAACATCGAAAAATTGAAAAATCGAAGTCGAAAATTTAAAGAATTGAAAAGTCGAAAAATCGAGAATTAGGAAAATCAAAGCATCGAGAAATTGATAAATCGAAAAATTGAAAACTCGAAAAATCGTAAAACTGAAACATCATAAAATCGAGCAATCGAATAATGAAGAAATCGAAATATCGAAAAATTGAAAATCGAGAAATTGAAAAACTGAAATAACTAAAAATTGAGAAATCGATAATTTTTTATATCTACCATCTAATTATTTATTTTTTTATATACAAAAAACTAGAGATGTACCGACTACAGTCGGCCGACTAGTCGGCTTTGTCAAAACCGGTTAAAATTAGTTTAATCGACCGAAAATTGGTGTCAAAGTGTAGATAATCTTCCGCTAGTTACGATTCTGAAATCGCCGTCACGATATATGGTCCAATAAACACGCAAAGCGAATTCAAAATTTCCAAAAATTTTCCAAAAAAGTGGTTAAAATTGGTTAAGTATTGTATAAACTGTCCTAAATTGTGTTATTCTTTATTTTTGTACTGAGTTACTACAAAAAATTAAATGTTAAAATTAACCAAAAAAATTTAACACATTTTTTGGAAAAAAAAGAAACTTCAGTTATTCCTTTTATTAAAATAAAACAAGTTTTTAAGGTAGTCAAAGAAATAGAAAAAAAAACCCACTGTCTGTTGCATTTATAAACAGTCGGCCGACTGCAGTCGGTACATCTCTACAAAAAACTCAATGTATAGGATAAAAATTCAACACGGATTCATAAGCCACAAGTTCAGGATTATGTCACCTTTTAACATTTAAATAACATTTATTCGATAAAACTGTAAGATGACATCATCAGTTCCTGAGGGAATATGAACAGATAAATTTTGATTAACGATTTATCATGCTTCCGACAACTTTAAAACATTTGCCAGATTTCAAAGCATTTGATCTTGCAATTTTAAAGTTGAATAATTGTACAACGTTGTTACACAATTTTGATTTTTTTTCAAAAATCTGGATGCTTAAAGTAAAACTTCGACACGGATTCATAAACCACAAATGGAGATGACGTCATTACATACATACAAAATTCATTCATACTCAATAAAACGAAACGAAAAGAATATACAGGGTGATTCACAGCACTAGTGCAAATTTTAATGGCGAATTCTATTCTATAGCAAAACAATTAATGAATGGCAGCACGGTCGATGATCAAAATTGCTTTCCACCACGGTTAATTATTAGAAAACAATTCTTATCGTCTTTGGTAATAGTCAATTCAGGGACAACTCATAAGTAACATTAAAGAAAACAATGTTTTTCTAAAGTAATCAACCAATTTTTCCCTAATAAAATTAACGATGGTGGAAAATAGTTTTGATAGTGACAAATTTAATTTTTTTTTTAAATTTGTCATAATTTTAGAAGAACTTTTTCCTTAGTGGACCTCTGATCACCCTGTATAACCATTCAAAGGAAACAAAAAATTAAATAAAAACACTTTTAGAAAATGGAGCTTTATTGGTAAAGGTGATAACCTATGCCCTAGTTCTGTAATTTAAATACCCCAGAAAATTAGGAAACACCAAATAATTTTGCACACATGAGTCACAGTGTTGGCAAAATTTCAAAACTGGTTTCAAATGCACCTGCAAAATAAAAAAAAACTTCCGTTCAATATAAACCGTTAATGAAAAGCTTCCAGGATTATTTAAACTTTTTATTTAAACAAAATTTGCGATGACGTCATAAAATTTTTGATTAGCGTTTGACCATTTCAAAATTCCAAAGTAATCAGTTCAGCAGCTTTGAAGATTATATGTTTAACAATATCGCCAATAGGGTTAACTCATTAATGAGATATTTAACGTCATAAATTGTTATTTGGTATGGGTTAATCAGAGACAACTCTATTAAAATTACATTCCTCTTGTAACGCCCTTCCAGTTTTGAAGGACTAAAATAGGAAGTCAGGGTCCATACTATTTTAGAAACCTTACATGGTGAGTTATGCAGGTGTACAATAAATTGATCATAAATGCTACTTACATCACGTAAATAAATAATTCTGAGTTATGACCTACGATGTAACGTGCGTTGGTGCTGTTATTCGGACTATAAAAAAGCTATAGTCATGGTATATTTTAAATTCTAATTTATCATTTATCGTATGTTTACTCAACAAACCCATGTGAGGTGTTACTAGTTGAATAGCGTCTCACCTTTCATTAGCTTGTCTGGAAGTGCAGACATTATTAAACAGAATAAATTTAAAAGTTAAAAACAACTTTTGGTGCGATTTTAAACTTAGGTAAGTTCTAATTTTAATCTATGACAGTAAGCTCAGTCATATCAAGTAATGCGGTTTTTTATATGCATCATACGAGGAAAAAATCGGACAACAATCTAAACCAATAACCTTGTTTTTTCCGGTTTTGGTATGATGTTATGCAAAAGTACAAAAATTAGCATATTTTACACTTTTAAACATTTTAAGAAATAACTTCGTCGCCTCCATTTTATCCAAACCTTAACTAAATAATCATGATCGGTGATCAAACAATTCGTAAATTAAGTAATCAAATCAGCGTAGGCGCGTTGACAGGTGCATGTTGTTACCTTCCGTGACGTAACGATTGTTTAAGGAAATGCGATGATTTAAAGCTCGAACCAAAACAAATCCATTAATGGTGGTTTCGGACCCCAAATTCCACCTAATCCGCCACAAATACACGAAATTCCCGCGTTTGACCTATGGACACCTTTCTCGTTATTATCGATTCGCAGTTGTTATGAAAAATCACAAAATGGCATCTGGGCTTATCAAAAAAATTCTTACCGCGAATACGAGGTTGAGCAATACCAGGAGGTATTTCAAGATTGCGTAACACCCACCGAGCCCCATTTCTTCAGAGAATTAATTTAATTCACAATTATTTCACTGACTCACACATCAACCGTGGAGATTCTGTTTGTTTTGGATTGAAATGGAAATGATCGCTAGGATTTGTCAACGGACGGATGTTGCACATGCGGAGTATCACGAGATCGGTTCGGGCGGATTCGATTTTGGCGCCTTTTCGATTGTTTAAACGTGGATTTTTATTGGTGATTAAGGCGATTTTATCTTATCGTCGGGAATAAATTACTGGAAAACAAACATTGAATGACCCGGTTTCATTGAAAGAAACTCTAGCTGTAATGAATGTGAGTCGGTGGTCTTAATTTGAATGAAGTGTTTTATGGGTATTTATTTTTGGTGGAACATTTGAAATACATTATTTTTTATGGCGAAAATAGTTTAAGCGTTTCCGGTTATAAATATCTGGACGACCGTTGCTTGAAACGTCTGAAAATGTCGCCAATCGGTGCTTTTAATAGAAACATTTTTTGTTACGATTTAACGACTTTTGTGGAGATGACGTCATCAAGTTTTGGAGGGAGAAATTAATATTTTAATATAGTGGTATGTCAATATGTATTAATATTAGTGTTATAATAAAATTTCAAATAAGCTGGTTATACGAGTATTTGCAGGGAGATACAGGTCATAAAGTGACAAATGAAAATTTATCATTAGCAAACTTTAAAACTTCTTCCGAATAATAAGAAACTTACGTTTTCGTATTCTGTGATTTATGAAACGTCAATAAAAACATGAATTTATACATTTGCCAAAATTAACATTATTACAATGGAAATAATAAAAAAACCTTATTGATTTCTGAAGTACAATCATATGGTTAAGTTTCTTAACTGACACATTATAAATGTTGTTTATGCAAATTTTATTTGTTTATAATAACACAATTATAAGAGCTTTGCATGTATACGGAATGAAATTTTAATAATTATTCTATAACCATTGAATGGATGCTAGAATTTTGCCAATTTTCAGAAAAAATAATTTCTTAGATTCAAAAAGACACTGTAAAGTTTATTAAAAATATTATTATTATTTTTTAACAATACCTCATATATGTACGGTCGGGGCCAGGAAATCTTGAACGTCAATGTCATTCTACTGTTACAAGGTGTAAAACCACAAATGTAAAACTCTCTTTGGTAAGTATATTGTATTAGTGGTATACAATAATGTTATTATAATGTCACAGCTTTAAGGGGATGTAACACAACAATATTTTGTAAATTTTTAAATTTAAAAAAGTTTTTGTAAATTTTAATCATTTCGAGGCATATTTTTTAACAATTATTTGTGAAATAAAGTTTTGATGTGATCAGTTTTCCAGAGGTCACGAAGCGATAATTTTCCCGATGTTCTGTAAAATTAAATTCGTATTATTAAGAAATTTTCGCTAGGTCTGTTTTAAGACGAAATATAAAATTTCATTTTACAAATTTTTTCTTACCATAAGTTTTACAATAGGGTCCATTTGATAAATGTCTAATTTAATAGATCTTATCTTAGCAAGTACTAGCCCTTGCCACCCACCCTTTACTTTCTTAGAGGGTATGTCATTTGCCAAAATCAGTCCTATCATACCAAGTACTGGCCCCGCCCACCCGCCCCCTATTTTCTCAGAGGATATGTCATTTGTCAAAATAAGACTTCTGTTAGCAAGTACTAGCCCCGCCCACTCCCCCTTTATTTTCTTAGAGAGTAGTACTTGCTAGTACTTGCTAAGGTAAGTCTTATTTTGGCAAAATCAGTTTTATCTGAACAGGTACTAGTCCCTATTTTTTTAGAGAATATGGCATTTTCCAAAATCAGTCTTATCGTAGCAAGTACTAGCCCCGCCCACCCGCCCTCTATTTTCTCAGAGGGTATGGCGTTTGCCAAAATCAGTCTTATCTGATGTGGGCGGGGCTAGTACTTGCTACGATAAGACTGATTTTGGAAAATGCCATATTCTCTAAAAAAATAGGGACTAGTACCTGTTCAGATAAAACTGATTTTGGCAAAACCCATACCCTCTGAGAAAATAGAGGGCAGGTGGGCGGGGTTAATATTTGTTAAGATAAGACTGATTTTGGCAAATGACATAAACTCTGAGAAAACAGAGGGCGGGTGGGCGGGGTTAATATTTGTTACTAAGATAAGACTGATTTTGGCAAATGACATAAACTCTGAGAAAATAGGGGCGGGTGGGCGGGGCTAGCACTTGCTAAGATAAGACTAAGTTTGCCCCTATTAAACTTGTAAAAACCTGTTAAATTTAGAAGCTGTTAAATTGCATATTTCCATAGTAACGAGTTAAATTCCTTAATCTCATTGGATATTTATTTTTTAGCAACTCATCAGTCATTAATTTTTCTGAGACATCGTGTACAAGTAAGTTTAAAAAATATTAATTACTTATGTTTTAAAAATAAATCACAAGTATAAACTCATCATACATATTTTGCACATTTAAGATGGGATATATTCATCAATATTTTGAGGTGACGTCATCAATTTTTTAGGGGGGATGAGCAAATACATTTTTGCAAGGACACGTATATCAACTTGGATGGGTGCACTGTAATACTAAAAATAACAGTATTGTATTCCCAAAATTTTCTGAGAAAATGGAGTGAGCCGTTTCTGATTTAATCGATAAAATAAATTGACACATTCATGAATTTTGTGAACCACATGTGTATAAGCAAATCTAAAAAATATAAATGCGATGATAAATCACAAGGAAAAACTCATCACATTTTGCACATTTCGGGTAGATTTTTAGGAATTTAACTCGTTACTATGGAAGTTTGCAATTTAACACCTTTAAATTTCACTAGTTTTTACAAGATTAATAGGGGCAAAATCAGTTTTATCTTAACAAGTACTAGGCCCGCCCACCCGCCCCCTATTTTCTCAGAGGATATGTCATTTGCTAGTACTTGCTAAGATAAGTCTTATTTTGCCAAATGACATATCTTCTGAGAAAATAAGGGCGGGTGGGTGGGGCTAGTACTTGCTCAGATAAAACTAATTTTGGCAGACGCCATACCCTTTGAGAAAATAGAGGGCGGGTGGGCGGGGCTAGTGCTTGCTAAGATAAGACTGATTTTGGCAAATATCTTACCCTCTGAGAAAATACGTATGAATGAGTAATCAAGGGATACTTATCGTTTTCATGGTGACGCTGTAACCTTAAAATATCAAAAGTATGATATATATGTAAAAAAATGTAGGCGAAGAAAAATGTTGCTGCCTCGGTGAGAATCGAACCACACGCCCCACGCTTGCCGGGCAGGTATCCTGACCACTGGACCACGAGGCCGCTTATCTTTCTCCGCTTACCAATGTGTTATTGTGCCGCCACAATGTCATAGTTGGCATTTCAGTCGACATCAGTTAAATGATTATTTATCCACACATTTTAAATTTTAGCACTATACGTTCACATAAAATAAAATTTGCAGAATCGATTTATGTAATAACTTATTCAAGACGTTGAACTTGTTTAACTGTATTTCAGAGCCGAGGGAAGTTGTAAATAATTTTGAAACATTTTTTTTTATAAGCACAGATACTGGAGCGACGGGGATACCTACTTTTTCACATTCTAGAACCTAACAATCTTCAAAAAAAAAATTAAATTATATAAAAAAAGATATGTAAAACTAGACGCGCGGTACCTTAAATTTCGAATTTAGGTTGGTTTTGAAGTAAAAAGTGTTGTTGTTGATAAAATTTATACAAATTCCGAGTAACTATTCATGTTTGTGTTTTTTTTAGGTTAGATACATATTTACAATTTTATGATGGCATACCTGATGGCAATTTGATATTTTGGGCACGAGTTCAGTAGTGGCTGCCCAAGGACCATACATAGATTATTTACTGTTTATTGTCCTTGGTGGCTGCTACATATTGGTTTTTAAGCGCGGTCATGTCAAAATTGACAACTGTGAACTGACATGCTTACATTGCTGCCAATAATTTAGAGTCGCCAACACAAAAATTTGCTTCAATCATTAATAATCACCCGGTATTATATCAACTGGTTGCTTGAACGATAAGGAAAATTCAGCTGTCTGTCATTCCTACAGGCTTCAGGAAATAAAAGAAATTGGTGTTACTTTTTGTACTGGATAAGCAAATGAAAAAATTTATTAGAAATTATAGTTAAAAATAAAAAAAAATGTTTGACATATTCAAAATATAGTATCAGGCGGAGAAATCTTTGTTAATTTAAAATAAAATATTTTAAAGATTGTGGCAGATATTAAATAAAATTTATTTATCAAATTCTGAAATAACGAAATCTTTTAATCTTTTGAAACAGCTGAATTTGACAAGCTGTCTTACTATATGGACGAGGGAATTTTGTAGAAGTAAAAATCCAATATTATTTCAAAAATGGAAACATTCTAAAACAGTAAAATTCAAAAAGTAAAAAATTTTAAAAATCATTATTATTATTAATCCATATTTAAAATGAAAACCACAAAAATTGCAAAAATGTTGGTACAATTAAATTTAAATAAAAAAAAATGTAATCCTAGATTCTATTATTTATCGATATAATATCCAACTTCGTTATTCAGAGCCAATAAAAATGAATGTTCAAAATGTCACTTTGTTTATATTTCAGATTCTATCGCTTATCAAAATATAAGTCAATTCTGATTTTTCAGTAAATAGACAATCAAATACAGGAAAAAGGTGGGTGGAGCTGGATTTACTTTTTTCGAAAGTCTTATAGGCAAGCAGTAGCCCCGCCCACCTATCCCGTCTTTATACCAGTAACTACCCTTAATATTGTTCAGTCTTATCTTAGCAAGTAGTAGCCCCATCCACCCCCCCTCTATTTTCTTAGAGGGTACGTCATTTGTCAAAATCAGTCTTATTTTAGCCAGTACTAACAACAAAAAAAAAATAATGAAAAACTGAAAAAATTCAAATCGAAAATTTGAAGGAATGAATAAATGAGGAATCAAAAACTGAAGAGTCACATAAACGAAAAAGTTTTAAAATCCAATAATATTTGAAAATTCGAAAAAATCTAAAATCGTAAAACTCACGTGTAAAATATCTTAAAAATTATTATTATTATTATTACTTATTTAAAATGAAAACTAGAAAAATCGCAAATCAAAAATTGAAAAATGTAAAAATTGAGACTTTTTTCGAAAAAAAAATTTAGTAAAATTTAAATTTTATTAAAAAAGTATGTAATCCTAGATTCTATTTATGGATATAAAATCCAACTTCCGTTCTTCAGAGCCAATAAGAATGAATGATCAAAACGAAATAGAGGGGGTGAGTGGACGGGGACACTTTTTACTTTGCTTTAAATTTTAGATTGCATTTTACAGTAAAAAAGTAAGACAATGAAATAGAGAAAAAAAGGTGGGCGGAACTGAGTTTGCAATTAAAAATAAGTTCTTGAAAATGACAAGTAATTCTTATATGTATACAAAATTAAAAATACGATAATTCGCTTGTCACAAATGTCAGTCGTAACCTAATTTTCTTAAAAGTATTTGCACCAAATTGGGGGCCACTTTGGATATTTCTTGTATAGGAATGATACTCATACAACTTTCTTATTTTCGTTATTTTTAGATTATAGCAAATCGTATGGTGAAATACGCAAGCGCAAACCCTTGTCAACAATTTTTAAAGTCAAATTGATCAACGACCTTTTTCTATGATCATTGATCATCCTGTATATTCCTTTACGAAAACTTGAATCTCCCGCCAAATTCCGTTCCCGTCAAAATTTCGCTGTCAACCTCAAAAGGCCGCATCGCTCAAAAATGCGCATGCTCCCGAAAGCAGATTTTCACGGTGTTTTCATGCAATGTTTACATTTTTTGAAATATTCGCAGTTTAGAAGGAAAATCTCGTAAATACCATGTTGCACAACAGCCTAAGGTGTTCGTAATCCCAGCTGAACCTTCCGACCTCGGCCAGACCCCCCGTTTTTCGTGTTCCACTTATCGTCCGCCAAAAAAATTGTGGAAGGGATGGAGCACAAACGAAGCGAAAGCGATTATTTTGTACCTACTTCAAAGATAACTGTTTTTATAGACAAAATAACGAAAATGTCGAAAAATCCCAACATTGAAGCTGATCTCAGCCAGGTAAAAGTGCGCATTTTTGCTTCGGTGACACTGAAAGTGTGTGTTGCAGGTTTTGGACGATTTTCTCGAAAAACTTGGCGAATGCGACAGATATTTGGAAAATGGTATATTTAATATGAACTTTGCTGAGGCAGCGTTGTTGCTTCAGAGTTCAGCGGATGTGTACAGTAAGAAGGTTGATTTACTGTGGGATATAATTTTCGACTACCAGAAGCGCTTGTTGTTGTCAGAAGAACAGTAAGTTTACAAAACTCAGAACACTACCCATAATTCTAGTAAAATTATGATCATTTCTCAAAAGTAGAGAAGGTACAGAATTTTTAGGTTTGCTACATTATCAAAACTACTTTCTACCTACCTTATTATTGTATTAGCAAAAACATTGCTTGAATACCTTAAAAAACACACGTTTTTCTTATTATAAAAATTATTTTCCATAGTGGAAACATATTTTTAAAATTTGCCATTAAAATTATGCAGTAGTGCTCTAAATCAATGATAACAATCTGTTTGTAGAAATGGCGACAAGAATCAGGAGATTGAGAAAGTGGAGGAGCGGAAACGAAAATATAAACGCAAACGAAAGACAAACTCTGAGGAAAACCAAACTGCCAAGTTAGTCAATAACTTCTCATTTGGGGCTGTGGAAAACGTCGATTATTTGAATCAGGACTATGAAACTGTGGATTTGTCAAAAGAGTGGGATAAATTTCGAAGAAAGGACCATCTAGAGGATAGTTTGCAAACACACACACCAAACAAAAATTTTATCTTTTCACCTAATGATGCTGTGTATAGTGAGGATGTTGATTACATTGGAAGGTATGACCAGTTTCATTCCATGTCCCTCATTGATGAAATCTTTCATTTACAACAACAAAACCTCTTGACAGATGAATACAACTGCGTTACAAAAATGAGAATTGATGCGTATGTTGTAAATGATTTTTTACTGGAAAGGTCAATTCCAAGTACAAAATCAGCTGACACTTATTCAGAAGAGCTCCAAGAGTACATAAACAACTTCTTCCAGTCACACAGACACCCAGAAAAAGAAGCATCTTCATCAAATGTAGAACAAATTTGTAGAAAGAGTTCTGTGTGTCTTGAGAAACTACCATTTAGAGTTATAAGGGATAAAATGAGAAGAGCTAGTTTAGCAGATTCATTGTTTGATGATGATCACATGACTTCACTGTCAGAACATTGTCCCAGTCCTTGCAATTCTCTAGACCATGATGATCCAAAGGACTGTGAAGTTGATGAGTCTTTTGAACAAATTAATAAAAATTTGGAAAACAGAAGCAAATCTTGCAGCCAAGATTCAGCGTTTTATGAAGATGTTGAAGATCATGGGAATGAGGAATGTGAGGCAGAAGGTGATATTGCAGTATATGTTATTATTGAAGATCCAGCTACTGGGGATGTTGCTACAAACAGTGATCATAATCCAGAAACTTCTGATAATGTTCCTGCAGAAGAAGTGGTCACTGCTGCTGATAACGTTCCTACAGAAGTCAGTACTCCTGATTGTATAGCAACTGAAGAAGTTCCTGTGAGGGAAGAAATCTCGAACACAGACATTTCTACATCAACAGAAGATGTAATAGCAAACTCTACAGTATCAACAGTTGCTGAAGAGGTAGTAAAATCCGCAAAAGCTTCCAAAAGTCCCATTGCTGATAACAAATCACGTTCTACTGTAATTACAAGACAAAAACCAGTAAAGAGATGGTCTTCGCTTTTACAATTACAACAGGTAAATTTTTACTTTTGTCAATTTTGTCATACTTTAATTTTTTATCAAGGGTGAAGATAAAGCCGAGCATAAAAGGAGAAAAGTTCAAACGACAAAAAGAATCTCAGAAAAAGCGTTGAAAAAATTATCTACTGGAATAACAGCTAAATATCGTGACTTCGAAATATTTTGTCGTATGCAGTACAAAGCAGCTGAAGGAGAAGGTATGTCAACATTTTCTATATATTTGTCTAAAAATATTTAATAACTTTGTTGAGAATTATGTCATGTAATTACCGCGCACTCGTACACTGATTGGTCGAATTTTGAAGTTTTAGCTGCCGCCTGGTGGTGAGTTACGGAAAATATCGGTATTTTGTACCCTATGGAAATAAGTTTTGATACATTTTGCGTACTGGTCAAGTCGATCGCAGCTATCTGCATCTTATTATCCTTCGGTATTGGCGATCCGTTTTGTTTCCAAACTTAAAATGTTGAAAATGAGAACACATTTTTTGAGTGCGTTCTCGACTAATGTGTAGTGTGAAATTCGGTTTTCAATTACAGTGTGAACACTAAGATGTTAATAAAATTGTTTCTTTTTTTATCCCAAAAATTGATAACGTTATCTATAATTTTGTTGAGTAAATTAGTAGAAGGAATGAATGCTTAGATTCACATACAGCATGGGCAAAATTTTTTGTCAACGCGCATTTTCACTACAGTTAGCCAACGTATTAGGTTTATTTTACTCTACATCAGATGGCGCCATCAAACATTAGCAAAAGCAAACACCCTTCACTCTGTTCTTATACGAGGAGTTATCCATAAATCCATAATTAACATTGTTCCGTAAAAATGTGTGTAGCCATATATGTACAAAATATGAAAATATACTTGACATAATAAATATGAAGCAACGCGTTGTAACGTGATCCGAAAATTGTATTTAAATGAATTTGACGCTTATTTTTATTTGACTATATCTAGAAACTGACTGAAACTTGCCAAGGGTTTTTAAACTGATATAATTGTTTCAATGATACGATTTCTCAATTTTTGTCCTCTTCAATTTTACAGTTTTTAAATATTTCGATTTTTCAATTTTTCAAATTTTCACGTTTCTAAATTTTCGGTTTTCCGATTTCTGAAGTATTTTTTTTTTATTTTTCCATTTCTCGACTTCCTAAAGTTTCGATTTTTCACTTCTTCCATTTTTCTATATTTTAAAGCGTACGATGTTTCGCCTTCGCTTTTTTAGTTTTCCGATTTCTCAATTTTCCATTTTTTTAATTTCTCAATTTTTTGGATATTTCTTTCAGTTATGAGATTTTTAATATTTCGATTTTTGGACTGCTGTTTTTTTTTATTTCTCGTTTTTTTACTTTTTGAATTTTCAATTCATTGTTAAACTTTAGATTTTTCAATTTTTCGACTGTTTTATACTTCGATTTCTCAATTTTTCAACTTTTCGATGTATTAATATTTCGATGTCTCGAGTTTTCAGTTCTTCTATATTTCAATTTTTCTAAATTTTGAATTTTCGATTTTCCGGTTTTTCATTTTTTAAATTTTTGGATCTTTCAATTGTTTGATTTCTCGATTTATCAATTTTTCTATTTTTAACTTTTCTTTTCGGCTTCTGACTCCTCAATTTCACGATCCTGTGATTTTTCGATTTCTCGATGTCTCGATTTTCAAATTTTAAATTTTTTGATCTTTGGATTCCTCGATTCTTCAATTTTGCGATATTTTAATTGTTCAATGTTTTAAATTTTAGATTTTCCGATTTCTCGATTTTTTGATTTTTCAGTTCTTCAGTATTTCTATTTTTCAATTTTTCAAATTTTGTCGTTGCTAAATTTTCAGTTTTCCGATTTCTCAATTAATCTATTTTTAATTTTCCCACTTCTCAAAGTTTCGATTTTTCAGTTCTTCAATTTTTCGATTTTTTAAGCTTACGATTTTTCGACTTGTTGAATTTTTAGTTTTTCGATTTTTCAATTTTCCATTTTTTAATTGCCCAGTTTTTTGGATATTTCTTTCATTATTTGAGATTTTTCAATATGTATTTCGATTTTTCGACTTTTCGATTTTTGGATTGCTTGATTTTTTACTTTTGAATTTTCAATTCATTGTTATACTTCGATTTCTCAATTTTTCAACTTTTCGATGTAATAATATTCCAGTTTTAAAATTCTAGCTTTTTCGATGTCTCGAGTTTTCAGTTCTTCTATACATATTTCAATTTTTCTAATTTTTAAATTTTCGATTTTCCAGTTTTTCATTTTTAAAATTTTTCGTTTTTTCAAATTTTTGATTTCTCGATTTATCGAATTCAGATGTTTCGTTGTTTTGATTGTTCAATTTCTCGATTTATCAATTTTTCTATTTTTAACTTTTCTTTTCAGCTTTTGACTCCTCAATTTCTCGATCCTGTGATTTTTCGATATCTCGATGTCTTAGTTTTAGAATTTTTCGATGTTTCGATTTTTGGATTTCTCGGTTTTTCGATTTTCCAACTTTTCAATGTTTCGATTTTTTAGTTATCTGATTTTTCAATTTTTCAATTTTTTAAATTGTGGAGTTTCGATTTGTCGATTTTTCAGTTTTTCGAATTTTAAATTTTAAATTTTCGAATTTTTATTTTTTGATTTTTGGATTTCTTGATTCTTCAGTTTTGCGATATTTTAATTGTTCAATGTTTTAAATTTTAGATTTTTCGATTTCGATTGGATTTCTCGGTTTTTCGATTTTTTACTTTTGGGCTTTTCAATTTTTCGATTTTCCAAATTTTCGATGTTTCGATTGTTATTCTGGAGTTTCGATTTCTCGATTTGTTGATTTTTTAGTTTTTCAATTTTTAAATTTTAGATTTTCCAATTTTTGTTTTTTGATTTTTTGTTGTTTGGATTTCTCGAGTTTTCAATTTTGTGGTATTGTAATTGTTCAATGTTTTAAATTTTAGATTTTTCAATTTCTCGATTTTTTATTTTTGAGTTCTTCAGTACATATTTCTATTTTTCAATTTTGACGTTGCTAAATTTTCAGTTTTCCGGTTTCTCAATTAATCTATTTTTGATTTTCCCACTTCTTGACTTCTCCAAGTTTCGATTTTTCACTTCTTCAATTCTTCGAACTTTCGACTTTGCCTTTTTGGTTTTTCTATTTTCAGTTTTTGATATTCCTTTCACTTTTGGGATTTTTCAATATTTCGTTTCTTCGAATTTTCGATTTTTTAAACTTTAGATTTTTCAATTTTTCGACTGTTTATATTTCGATTACTTAATTTTTCAATTTTTCAATATTTTAATTTTTCAGTTTTAAAATTCTAGATTTCTCGAGTTCTCAGCTCTTCTATATTTTAATTTTCCGAGTTTTTAAATTTTCGATTTTTCAATTTTTTGAGATCTGGATTTATCGAGATGCGGATGTTCCGATGTTTTGATAGTTCAGTCTCTCGATTTATCAATTTTTCCATTTTTAACTTTTCGATTTTGGCCTATTTCGGTTTCTCAATTTTTCGATTTTTCGACTTCTCGACTTTTCGACCTCTCGATTTCTCGATCTTTTAATTTTTAGATTTCTCGATGAAGTTTTTGAATTTTTCGATGTTTCGATTTTTCGATTTGTCGGCTTTTCGATTTTTTACTTTTCGGCTTTTCTATTCTTCTGTTTCGATTTTTGTATTATTCGATTTTTCAATTTTCCATTTTTTTTAATTTTTGAGTTTCGATTTCTCGATTTGTTGAATTTTCAGTTTTCCGATTTTTAAATTTTAGATTTTTCAGTTTTTATTTTTTTGATTTTTTGATGTTTAGATTTCTCCATTTTTCAATTTTACGATATTTTAATTTTTCATTGTTTTTAATTTTAGATTTCGATTTTCCAGTTCTTCAATATATTTCAATTTTTTAAATTTTGACGTTTCAGAATTTTCAGATTTCCGATTTCTCAATTAATCTATTTTTTGATTTTCCCATTTCTCGACTTCCCAAAGTTTCGATCTTTTATTTTGTTCAGTTCTTCAGGTTTTTGATTTTGCAGTTTTTCGATTTTTTAAATTTGCAATGTTTCGAGTTTGCTTTTTGACATTTTGATTTCTCAATTTTTCGATTATTTAACTTCCTAATTTTTTAATATTTTGTTCAATTTTGTGATTTTTCGATTTTTCGATTTTTTACTTTGCGGCTTTTCGATTCTTCTATGTTCCGATTTTTGTATTATTCGATTTTTCAATTTTCCAATTTTTTTAATTTTCGAGTTTCGATTTCTCGACTTGTTGAATTTTCAGTTTTTCGATGTTTGAATTAAAAATTTTTCAATTTCTACTTTTTTGATTTTTGATGTTTAGATTTCTCCATTTTTCAATTTTGCGATATTTTAATTTTTCATTGTTTTTAATTTTAGATTTCGATTTTCCAGTTCTTCAATATATGTATTTCAATTTTTTAAATTTTGACGTTTCAGAATTTTCAGATTTCCGATTTCTCAATTAATCTATTCTTTGATTTTCCCATTTCTCGACTTTCCAAAGTTTCGATCTTTCATTTCTTCGGTTCTTCAGGTTTTTGATTTTTCAGTTTTTTTATTTATTTAACAGAGAAATTACAGAGTAGAGGAAAAAAAATCCTATGGGTACTTTATACAAATTAAACTAAACTTTAACGTTGATTCCTTTTTTGAATTTTTCAATGATTCGGTTTTTCAATTTTTCAACTTTTCGATATTTTAATTTTTCAGTTTTAAAATTCTAGATTTTTAGTTTTCTCGAGTTTTCAGTTCTTCTATATTTTAATTTTTTAATTTTCCGAATTATTAAATTTTCGTTTTTTCAATTTTTTGATAGCTCAATCTCTCGATTTATCAATTTTTCCATTTTTAACGTTTCGATTTTTCGATTTTGGCCTATTTCGTTGCTCGATGTCTCACTTTTTGAATTTTTCAATGTTTCGATTTTTCGATTCGTGGGTTTTTCGATTTCTTACTTTTCGGCTTTTCGATTTTTCTGTTTCGATTTTTGTATTATTCGAGTTTTCAATTTTCCAATTTTTTTTAATTTTCGAGTTTCGATTTCTCGGTTTGTTGATTTTTCAGTGTTTTGATTTTTAAATTTTAGATTTTTTAATTTTAATTTTTTTTTTATTTTTTGATGTTTAGATTTCTTAATTTTTCAATTTTTTACATTTTAATTTTTCAATGTTGTAAATTTTAGATTTTTCGATTTTTCAGTTCTTCAATATTTTTTAATTTTTCAAATTTTGACGTTTCAGAATTTTCAATTTCCGATTTTTCAATTAATCATTTTTTTTTATTTTCCCATTTCTCGACTTCTCCAAGTTTCGATCTTTCAGTTCTTCAGTTCTTCAATTTTTCGATTTTTCAGGTTTTTGATTTTTCGAGTTTGCTTTTTGACTTTTTGATTTCTCAATTTTTCAATTATTAACTTCCTAATTTTTAAATATTTTGTTCAATTTTGTGATTGTTCAGTTTTTCGACTTTTCGATTTGTCTAATTTTGGATATTTCGATTTCTCGACTTTAGTGTTTGAATTTTCAATATTTCGTTTTTTAAACTTTAGATTTTTCAATTTTTCGACTGTTTTATATTTCGATTTTTCAATTTTTCTACTTTTCGATATTTTAATTTTTCAGTTTTGAAATTCTAGATTTTTAGATTTCTCGAGTTTTCAGTTCTTCTATATTTTAATTTTTTAATTTTCCGAATTATTAAATTTTCGTTTTTTCAATTTTTTGATAGTTCAATCTCTCGATTTATCAATTTTTCCATTTTTAACTTTTCGATTTTTCGATTTTGGCCTATTTCGTTTCTCGATGTCTCAGTTTTTGAATTTTTCAATGTTTCGATTTTTCGATTCGTGGGTTTTTCGATTTCTTACTTTTCGGCTTTTCGATTTTTCTGTTTCGATTTTTGTATTATTCGAGTTTTCAATTTTCCAGTTTTTTTTTAATTTTCGAGTTTCGATTTCTCGGTTTGTTGATTTTTCAGTTTTTCGATTTTTAAATTTTATTTTTTTTTTATTTTTTGATGTTTAGATTTCTTAATTTTTTACATTTTAATTTTTCAATGATGTAAATTTTAGATTTTTCGATTTTTCAGTTCTTCAATATTTTTTAATTTTTCAAATTTTGACGTTTCAGAATTTTCAATATCCGATTTTTCAATTAATCATTTTTTTTTTTATTTTCCCATTTCTCGACTTCTCCAAGTTTCGATCTTTCAGTTCTTCAGTTCTTCAATTTTACGATTTTTCAGGTTTTTGATTTTTCGAGTTTGCTTTTTGACTTTTTGATTTCTCAATTTTTCAATTAACTTCCTAAAAATTTTGTTCAATTTTGTAATTTTTCAGTTTTTCGACTTTTCGATTTTTCTAATTCTGGATATTTCGATTTCTTAACTTTTTACTGTTTGGATTTTCAATTTGCGTTTTTTAAACTTTAGATTTCTCAATTTTTCGACTTTTCGATATTTTAACTTTTCAGTTTTTAAAATTTTACATTTTTCGATTTCTCGAGTTTTCAGTTTTTCTATATCTCAATTTTACAATTTTCGGAATTTTTAAATTTTCGATTTTCCATTATTTAAACATGTTTCGATTTTCCAATTTTTCGATGTTTTTGATTTTTCAATTTCTCGATTTTTAAATTTTTATTTTTTTTATTTCTTCATGTTTGGACTTCTCGATTTTACAATTTTTCGATATTTGAATTTTTCGACTTTTCGATTTATAGATTTCCCGATTTTTCAGTTTTGGGAACTTTTCAATTTGTTTTTTCAATTCTGAACGCTTAGAGTCGACATTGGCTTGAGCGCGCTCCGGTCTGTGGATCAAACAAGTTCTCAGGTGACGACTTATCAAAAATTGTTATCGCTAATTGGACTTAGAAGTTTAATATTTTGTGTGAAAATGGAACACTTAAATGAAAATAATTGCCGAAATGTTAATCACTTTTTCCAAATGAGGATATCAAAAAGGACAAATTATAACTCTAGAAAAGAGGTAATTCGATTAAAAAATTTTTCTAGCTACTATCTTATCTAACTAGATTTACAATTTATAAAAAAGCAAGACTAATTAATTAATTTTCAAAATTAAATCAGCAAGTACAATAATAAAACATGATCAGAATTAATTTCGTTATTTTAGGGGTAGTCCCAGCTCAACTCTCAGACTCTGATGAATCAGAAGAAGAAGACAACCACATGTCAGACGAAGACGAGAACGACCCCACTCCAGTGAACACCGACGCCGAAATGTCGGACGAGGAATGTAAAAACGGCGAAGAAGAGGAAGAAGAAAACGATCTCGAAACTTCTCCAGATAAACCAGACGAAACTCCTACAAGTATACGACCTAACCTTCCCGACCCCAATGTATCGCCTATATCAACTTCACACCAACCACCTCGTAGTTTATCTGAAGACAGAGGTGTTCTTGGGATGACGTCAACACCCCACCCCCCCATTACCACCCCACGCAACGTATCCACTTTATCGGACATGGACTTCGAACAACAAGAAGGCTACCGTAAAAACGTCCGTGAGTGGCGCTCTTTCATAATACCGAAACTCAAAACCCTAGAAAATCGGGCAGATTTTGACATTCACGAATACGGTGCTAGGATTATTGAACCGTCGGAAATCGGGGAACAGCGGTATTTTAAGGACATCGTGAAGGGGAAAAACGCGGCGGAAGTTGCTAGATATTTTATAGCTACTTTGCAGTTGGCGAATACTTATAATGTGGAAATTACGGGGGCAATTCCTGGCGGAGTGGCTAACGATAATTTTCAAATTAAAACGCTCGATAAGACTAAACATCATGAACTTTTGGAAGAATATCAAGCTCCGTCCGAAGAAACGTTTAGAGAACGGTTACAGAGGGTTAGGGCTATGAGTGCGAAAGATCGGCATTCCGTTGATGATAAGGGTCCTCCGGTTAAAAAAATTAAGTTTTCGAGTGGTTCACGTAGGAGTTTTTTTTAAGTAACTACTGTTTTTAGTAGGTTTCAGTATTATTTTGCTTCCTTTTACGTGTTTTCTGTTTCATTGTTGCAGTTCAAACGAAAGAGTGCTGTGCAATATAATATTAATTAATTTTGGAGAGTTAAGAAATGGTTCTTAATTTATAGTTAGGCTGGCGTTGATCGGTAACCTTCGTTTAGTAATGGGTCTCAGACTGTCTTCCACAATATATACAATAACTACGGTTTTTATTTTATTTTTCTGATTTAAAAAAACTTGTATATAACTACCTACGTACTAAATTTAACTTAGGTATTTTTTATGATGATCACAACAGGAAACCGATAAAATTTGTTTGATGTTTTCTGTTGTCAAATAAACATCGTTTTTAAAGTACAAAATTCTAACGTTTCGCTTAAAAAAAAACCAAAGAAAATTTGTTCAAAATGAAAAGTGTCTCCATAAACTTGTTTACTAGATTTTTTTGTTTTTTTTTACTGAATTTGTGAATCGCTTTTGGTAACTTTGATAAGAGTTCCGTTTAAAAAAGCATTCAAGAAGTTGTGGTTTGAATTCAGTAAAAGTTCCAAACTTTTCTGCGAAACTTGGATCTGGGGTTATTTTGTAAAACTAAAGATCATATTTTACGACTAGACGGACGAAAATACTAAACTTTTGGTAGATAATCCAGTAATAAAATTTTACAAATGATGGAGGTTTCATGTAAAAAAATGACTTTCAAACGTTGTTTTGACATCAGAAATTATTTTTATATACGTAAGTTTTGTTATACCGGGAGAATAAAATATAAAATATGCTCAAAGACGGCAACACATTTTTGTAGACCTTACGAAAATTTATTTCCGTCTTTTGAGCGTATTTTTTATTGTTCTCTCGGTATTTCTTGTGTTTCGTATTATATTATCAAAGTATCATAATTTGATCGTATTATATTGCAATTTTTTGGTGTGGGTGGCTTGAATTCGCTAAACGAAGTTCCAAATTTTCGTACGAAACTTGTATCTGGCGATATTTTTTAAAATCTAAAGAATGCGATTTATAAACAGAGCGAACCAAAATTTTAAAATTTTGGTTAGTTTGCAGTCACCGTAAGACTAATAAAATTATTCAAATTGTGATAAAAATGGAAACTGAGTCTCCAAGAGTAAATGTAAAAAATGACCCTTTGAAACCTTGTTTTGACATCAGAAATTGTTTCCAAATGATTTTACACACGTACATAATATGATCGGATTATGATGCTGATGATGCTTCATAAGCATCATAATTTGATCATATTATATTGCGATTTTTTTGTTGGTATGGCCTGAATTCGGTAAAAGAAGTTCAAAAATTTTCTACGAAACCTGGATCTGGGGATATTTTTTAAATCTAAGCGAGTGAACTAAAATTTTAGTGAATTGCAGTAATAAAATTTTACAAATGACAAAAAGTACCAATAAATAAAAATAACAAAATTCTTTTTAACGGCGTTATTTTGACTTCAGAAATTATGTTTCTAATTTTTTACAGCAATCAAAAGCACGATTAGAGTCGGTAATGAACTTTTGTAAACCTTATAAAGATTCATATCCGTCTTTGGTCGTATTTTTTATTGTTGTTTTATTGTATTGTATCGACGTTATCATCATAAACTGACTAACATAAGCTCGTTTGGACTGCATCATCTTTTTTTAATTTTATATTATTAAATTACTTTAAGCGGTTCATTGTCATAACAGGGTTGTTAATGGTAATTTTCCTTTTACGCGAGGGTGAGTGATTTTGTAATATTTACAATAATTAAAAAGAAAAGACTATGTATCTCATATAGTAAATGTAGTTAAGATGAAAAACTGCCGTGCTCCGTTGTTTTAAGCATTTTCAATTACCTAAAAGGAAAATGTAAATGCTTTTCACAAAGTATTAAGTTTTTCGTCTTAATGTTTTAAATTTACGCTACCTCAACATGGCAATTCTGCACCATTCGTCATTAAATAATTAAGCTTGTACATTACATCTTCAAAAAACTGTCATGTTCATTACGTTGTGTAATTAGTTTTTATCATTTTTCTTTTTTTGTAAAAGTGACTGTGATCTCAAATGTTTTGTCTAATAATGTTGTAAAATTTTCAAAATAAATAGTACAATGTTAGTTGTATAGTAAGGTTAAACTAAATTTATTAAGTTCAGATTTTACTATTGTTTTTGTTTGAGAGAAGTTGTAAATTAATATAACAGTACTAAATTAAAAAAAAAACTTGTATTTTTACAAATACTGTACAATAAAATTTGTATGCATAATTTCAGGTGGAGTTTAGAATTTAAATGCCTCTATAATTTTTCTAGTAAAAAAATACGAGGTAAGTATTGATCACAAATTTACTAAAAATAATAAAATTTACTTTTTGGCCTCGACAACTGTAAAACTGACATTTACGTATCGTAGATTGCCATGGTATTTTGATTTTTACACATTGAACTGTCATTTACCAAATTAAGTGCGGTAATAAACACAGAAATTTTCAGTTTTAAAACCCTTAAAAAAATTGACACCTCATCATTAACAAAGCTTGTGTTCACCAAAATAAGATACCGCATAAATGCATCTATTAAATGTTTTAAAATAATAGCAATTGATTTTTTTATTGAGTTTGGAGAGCGCCATCTGGTGGCATAAGCAGCAGTCATATCGAACTATCTGTCACGATTTTAATTTTATCTGACGTTTGACGCAGGGAAAGCCTACTTACAAATTCCACACAATTTAAAAAAATGTAAAAATTGACGAAAACAAGCACCACTAAGTCATCGGCCAAAAAGTTTGTATTATTACCTGTACCCATTTTGTGAATTTTGGTTGTGACTTGTGGTAATGCAAACTGCAAAATTATTGTTCTCACTTTATTATATGCATAAACTAAGTACTAGTTTCATACACAGTACTTCTATTTTGTACTTTGACGGATACACAAATTTCTATCACGTAAAAGATTCAAATATATTTTCTTTTTATAAATCTACGAACTGCATAAACAGCCTATTCAATTCACGAAAGACAGCGCAACTCAGCGCTTCATAGATACATGCTTATAAATCTAGCATGCAACAAGGCCAACAGCATAAAATGTCGAAATTCTAACATTTAAAATGGATCAGATTGTTTGCGGACAGAAGACGTGTTTATGCCATGGTTTGGGGCATTTTTGATCTCCATTGAGCTGGTAAGAGTTCATCAACTCTTCGGTTTAAAAATGACACTCGGTTTGCTAACGTGCTGACGGTCTCTTCCATGTGCGCCTGTCTCCTCCACTCCAGTTGAGGTAGAAGCAACTCGGCTTTGACAATCCGGGACTCCATATTTCGCAACTTCTGGCAGACAGAGTCAATGTAAGCGTCTTGGAGTAGGCTTGCAGTTGCTTTATCTGTTGAAACAATTGAAATTAATGCTTAAACTGTGTCTAGTTAAGAGGGATCAAACTTACTGGCATAGTTGATTTTGCAAACATCTATATAGAAGTATCTACAACACAATACGAATCAGCACGATATTTAACTAAATTTTTATGAAATAGTACTTGTCAGGATCGGAAGACTCCAGTAAAAAAGACAATGGCACAAGAACTTCATCATCACGTCGCAGTTTGATTACTTTGTTATCTTCAGGTCCAACTTGACAAATATTTTGGATTTCTTTTTTTAAGGCGTTGTATTCCGAGTCTGTGTTAAATTCCACCGTTTTTTCGGTGATTTCGGGCAATCCTATAACCCAAAAATTTTAATAAATTTTGATTTTTCATTTGTTGCTTACCTGAAGTGTCATATCTCCGTATTTTTAAACGAATTACGACTTTATTTGACTCCATTATTGCTGCAAATCTTGTTTTTTGTTATTATTTTGAAAAAACAAACATACGGTTTTTGCTCATTGACGTTTAAAGCAACTTCCGGTTGTCGGATGCGGAAACTGTCACGTGATATAAAAATCAATAAAGCTACTACACTACGACGCAATTTGCGTTATTTGACAGTGAGCTTACTTCAATGGCGCGTTTTTACGTAAAATAAAACACCTGCATACTGGGTATTGTTTTATTTTCTAAAGCTTCGTCAAAATAAATTAAATTATTTTTAGGTGTACAATGTACCATACTGTGAAAAGTAGCAGAGTTGTAACTATAAAAAATCCTTTCTAAATAAAATTTACAAATCTAACGTGTGGAAACATTTTCATTAAACAATGAAAGCTCCAAATCCAAAAGCTCGTTTCATGGAGTCCCAGTAGTACCGTTGCCAGTTTTCCTTAGTTACGTCGGCTTCTCCTGCTGGCACCCCTGTCTGCACTAGATTTACTTCCGTGTGGTCACTCTAAAATCACAAAATTACTTTATCATTATTTACGTTCAAAAAACTCAATACCTTTTCAGTTATATTAAAAGTAACAGTAGAAAAATGTCCCTCAGGCCACTGTTTATACCTCCATTGTTGAACTATCTTCTTCCCTGGTACCAGTTCTTCGAAAGTACCTACAATATTACCACTAAATAATTCAAACTTGCCCCCTTTGGTCGGGTCCATTTTCACATGCGCTCTTGTGAATGCCGTGACCATCTCGATTCGTGTTAGTGCGTCGTAGAATTCGTTCGCTTTACACTGGAACTGCTGCGTTAAATTTAACGTCGTTACGTCTATTTTAAGTCCGATTTGTTTTTTGCTTTCGGAAACCACGGGTGTCATGTTGATTTTTTTGTTAAAACCACTGGTAAGATTTTTGACCGCGTCTGGTTTCACTTCGTCTTTTTTCGGTAATATCATCCCTTTCGAAAATTCTTCTTTTAAACTCGATATATATTTCGATATTTGTTCGCGCACTACTTGTTTGCCGGTTTTAAACATAATTTCTTTTAATTTATCGCCTTCGTCGTCTGAGTCTTTCACAGATATTTTGATCTGAAAAAGAAAATTGATCAATTGACAATAAACGCTGTAGGAATTATTTTGGGGTTCATTTTGACTTATAAATACAGATTATCAAAGTGATATATTTTTTTCGTGTAAGATGCAAGTCTTTTTCAAAATTTCTTTCTTTTATTAAATAAAATATATGCTCAAAAATAGTAGTATACATTTCACTCACTTTTTATACACCAAAATGAACTTTTTGATGGAGATTCGGAGTACTATATTTGGCTCTAATAACTCTTGAGAAATGGATCTCTAGTGTAAAAAGTGTATTACAACTATTGTTTGAAATACAGTTATAACTTCTTTTTCTCTCTTATGTATTATCATCGCATGTTCTTCACATTGTATGAGTCGTTAATTTTCATTTTCAATAAAAGTTTTTGTTGCTATTAGATTGATTACGTTGTGTTTAAAATTATATAAATCATTTTAATGGAATACATATCTGAAAGCAGAGAATAATTTTTCTGTAGAATAAAACTAAGTTTTTTCTTTATTAAATTAAATACATATTCAAAATATCGCGCAAACATAAAATCAACTCAGTCGGGAGTTAAAATCTAAAACGAATTTAGCACAGAATTTGTTAAGAAACCAAGTAACCATAATATCCATAAGCTCTTCATCTTTTTAAGGGTGAGCTAAAGCATATTCTAGCATAGGGAAATACATATAAACTTCCGCCCAAGTTTTACTTTTCCGTTTTTTAATTTTCTTGTCAAAAAAAAACCACAATGCGTTAAAATTGTCATGAGTATGAGATTATCTGGGTTTCGCTATTTATGGATCAATTTTAAATTTTCAAAAAGGTACATCAGTAGAAATTGCATTAAAAAACCCATTGCGTTTTACAGAAATAAAATATCTTAAGAAATAATTGAGTAAACAGGGGCAGAATATTTAAAATTTGTGGTCAAACAAACTTTAGCCATTTTTCTGGTTCACTCAACTCTTAACAGGTAACCAATAAAGTAATTTGTAATTGTAGTGAATTACTATTGTTACTGAATAATGGGTAATTGTAATGCATTACTTTTTAAAAGTAATTGCTCCAATCACTGGTCTTCATGGGCTACAATCTTTTAATGCTGGTTATAATCTTTTTTTTATTATTTTAATTTTGAACTTCCATAACTGTCACAACACGAAGTTCTATGTAAAAAAAGCTGTTGGGGGTAACTCAGAAATGATAGGGGTAAAATGATTGCTATACTAAATTGTAGAGGCAAAAATCAACGCCTACTATGATAACAACTTTTTACATATCCTATATGCTAACTTTCTTCTTTTTTATTATTTTCTGCTTATTTTTTTTGTTCTTTATTTCTACAACTTTTTAGCATTTCTTTATCATTTTGTCTCATCATATAAAAAAAAAAACTAGTGAGTTGATAAAATCCTTAATTGTCGTAAGCCCGGTCTACCTTTAAATGTGACGCTACTTACATCCAATTCTGAGACATCATTTTCCTCTGAAAGATTTGGAACTTTTACTTTCCCTGAGTATGTCTTGTCCGACCCATCTTTAAGTTTCCCACTCCATTTGATGGTTAAATCCCATTCATAAAAGAATATTAGTTTACCCTTTCTATTACTCGCTGAAGCCTCCCCGTCGCATTTCTCTACCTCTGTGAATGTTATATCAGCCAGGTCCGACTTCAGTGGTAAATCTTTAAATAACTCTTTTATTCGGTCAAGAGACCACGGCCCTGCGTTTTTTTCCGTCCAGTGCCAGTTGTTCACATTTGTGGCATCGGGTCTTTCTTCTACAATCCATCGTGGATCACCTTCGCCCCATTTAGCCATTTCTCGGTTTTTATAGGTTATGTGGTAGGCACACAATCGCACCAACGTGCTTGTTGTTCCTAAAATCAATTCATCTGCTAAGAAGCACTAAGGGTAAATTATGAAGTTGTAAAAATAAATTTAATATTTTTACTCTAGTTTTTGTAAAATAAAATAAAACAATTTACCTGTGCGAGCAGATATTGATTGAAGGACGAGCTAATTTTTTTTACTGCAGGTGGTGGTTTAGTGGATGAATGAAAAATTTAAAACTAGACCTATTTCACTTTATTACTTCCAGATTAATGGTGCTGTGGGTTCTACGAACTTCCTTTCTATAAAGCTGAAGATTTTTCTAGAATTTTGCTGCCGTTGAAATTGGCACCGGTGTCAAAGTTGTGTGTGTTAGTGTGACTAGGTGGCGCCAAAAGCAGCTGTTTTTTGTGTTGCCTATCGCCTGAACGAGTATGTTGGGTACGACAGAGTCGGCCTGGCCCTAATATTTGTGGGGTCCATTTGTTTTACTTGGACTAACATCGCTTCTATTAATTTTTGCACGTGATTTTCAACTGTGTTCAAATAAATACTATTTTTCCATTTATTTAAACTGATCTTAAAGAAAATCTGAAGTTGGTTAACGCATTGTTAGAGCTGTGTGATTAACTGATTATTCAACAGTCAGTTATGAATAAACATTATACTGTGTCATCTTATTATTCCTACGTAATTATTATAGGTTAATTTTAGACATACGTAGGTAGATTTTGTGGGTTTCCAAGACCGAAGTTATCTTAAATGAAGATATATTATTTGTCTTGTCTAGACTATGTTATAATAACTTTTTCAGCAATGTTAATTTAACTATGAGTAATTAAAAAAGAAGAAGCTAAAGACAACTGTCTAATATCACACCCTTCTGGAAATGTGCTTTTTTGGGAGTTGTTAACTTCAGACATTTTTAATATTTTCACCGCAATTGTTTACTGGACATTGTTTATGGCGGTCTTTTGCTTCAATATTATCCGATGCTGGTGCGGATTTCACAGAAATTAAGTGACATGAAGTCTGGAAATCGATAACTGGCGCAAATTATATTGAAAACTCTCTTTTTACAGCACAAAATTGAGTGATAAATTTCCAGATATAATAATTTCAACATATATATTTAAACCTGAATTTAAATTCAGAATGTCATTCTTTTTAAAATGACGTGCAATTTAAAAAAAAACTGTGTTTCCTTTTTTTCACATAAACAGTCATTATTTATTTATCGTTTTGCTTTGATTGTAATCTGTCAATTTTTGACTTTGAAATGGATAAAAAATGGAATAACATAAAATGTATATTTGGTTGCATAATTTAATTTTATTTTCTAATTTTTTTTTAAAAACGTGCATTACCTAATTCAATAAATTACGTTTAATTCCCTAATAATTTGGTGTCTCAGTAAAATTTCGAAGTTCCATTAAACTATGTTTAATATGTTGAAAAATTTTGGTTAATATTTTACCACATTCAGAACAATCTTAGGGGTCTATTTTGTAATTTATCGCTCCAGAACGATCTCGCTCCCAAACGATAATCGTTAGAAGCAATCGTAAAATCAGGTTAGCGAGATTGTACAAATTTCCAATTTTATAAACACTATCGTAATCGTAAAGCTTTGAAATCGTTAGCGGAACGATGAATCAAATGTTTTTAGAATCGGTAGTATTTAAATTTGTGTAGCGTCTAGATTACGTTGTTCTCTGTTGTGGCATGTGACATTTGTTTTGCTACTGATTGAAGTTTGGACAAATTTGTGAACTTATAACATGTAAGTAAACAATAATTATAAAAGAAAAACATCAAAATAATCACACTAACACGAAATTCAGTTTACAATACGTTCACAGGAGCAATGGAAAAACGTAAAAGGGCCCAGCGTATTACCCAAGAGTAACATGAGTTGTATGTGGAGGAGTTAGAAGGTAATGCAGATTTTAGGGCCCAAAAGTTCGTAGCGGACAAGCCAGATCTTTTAGAAAAGATATGGGAAGGGTTGGTAGGAAAACTAAATTCTGTGGGAGGACCACAAAAAAGTGTTCAGCAGTTCAGAGAGGTATGTGTAATTAATGAATCTCCCGAACACTCTTTTTAAAAATGTGTACTTTACTATAATTTATCGTACAACTATTAGCAATTATTCTGCTTACATCAACACTTTGGTTATGACAAAGTGAACATCTTGTTTAGTCATGACCAATCAATTATGAGAACTGAGATGTTTAATCTTTATAAATACTGTTACACAATAAACCATAACCTCTGTGTTTTTTAGTACACCAAGAATATAACATAGGGCACTCTAATTACAATGTACTGCCTGGTAAGTAAACGTCACTGTGTGTTCCAGAGATTTGTAGATTGGAAATTCAATGTTTGAAAGAAGACCAGAAATTTAAGACTATGTGAAAGAGGAACTGTTTAAAATAATTTCATTATGTTGTAAAAAGATAATAAATACATTATTGAAAATGCTGTATTATTAAATTATTTCTTGTGATATGCCATTCATGTAGTAAATTGTGTTCTTCGTATTCAAGTTCTTCATTATTATCGTTCTCCTTGTCATAGACAATATTGATCTCGTCATTTTCGATATTTCTTATGCGTAAGATTGTGTGAAACAGCACATGAGTATGTAATTTTTCCTGCAACATCTGGTGAATAATACAGAACTCTGCGGCAGTATTTCTGGAAATGTATCTCTCGCCGCTTCCCATTACAGTTGGTAGGTCTTCCTAAAGGTTTCTTCTTGAACGATCAAGGGGTCGTTTACATCTCTTAAGACCCGAGACAAATTTCTGATTCTGTCTCTGCAGTAAAAAAAATATATAATAAGTTATCAACCTAATCCAAACATACATTAATTACTTACATTTACCTTCTCTACCCATATTTGCACCAAAACGTTCCTCTTCATTGTATAAATACTTTTCTAACGTGTTCTGACACTTCTAACGGTGAGCTGAAACCTATCGTTCCGGAACGATGACATTCTAACGATACGATCGCTATGTAACGAGACGATAGATGTTACAAAATCGCTATCAGTCCCAAAATCGTTATGGGAACGATTATCGTAAGTTAACGATGCTCTAACGAGATCGTTAAGAGTTACAAAATAGACCTCTTAATATAAATTTAAAATGTAAGAGATAACAGAGATACCATAATTTCCGAACATTCTATAAACTTCAGACAGCTAAAGGTTAACCCTCCATTTTCGTATTCTATAGAATATGAAATATCAAGAAAATAATATATTAATGTTTTTTTCGACGTGCGCCATTATAATTCATTAAATTTAATTTATAACAATTTTTGTTTGAAGTATTGTTGTTATAATGTTTATTACCCCTGCAACACCAAAAAAACAAAATTACAAACAAATAGGTTGGTATTGATTAGATAATGGCGAAGAGTCGACAAATTTTGTAGGTAATTTCGGTTTTATAGGAGATGCGAAAGATCGAAGAAGATTCATGAATTTAGCTTCAGATTTGGATTTGAATCCACTTTTTCCAAGGTTATTTTTCTATACGTACAATCAAAATATATTTATTTCAAGTATGACGCATTATTAACCAAATCCAAATCTGAACTAATTTCAGCGACGTAATAAATTACTGGCGAATGAGGTGTGCCGCGCTAGGGGCTATCTGAGCCGTACTGCTCTCGTAAATTTGTTTTATTGTTTGTAAATTCACCGATCAGGTTAGGTTATTACTCGTTAACTAGTTTTAACACAATTTAACAGACATTAGTTTTGCTTAGAAAGACATTTACTTGGAGATTTCATGAAATTCACTTGTTTACAAGTTATGAATTAGGTTGCTGGATGCTAATACGTAAGTGTTACATTATAACACTTCTTATTTCTTCACACAAGATTGCTAATAGTTCATTTACGGCAGTTAAATTTCATACCGTGAACTGGCCGGGGGTTAAAATCATTTCTTCCCTTAGGCAGTTATTACCATCGTTATTATACCACCGAGGCATGTCCTCACAACTCTAAAGATTGATTACATCACTGAGGCATGTCCTCGCAACGTTAAAAATTGACTACATCACCGAGGTATCTCCTCGCAACGTTAAAAATTACACCACCGAGGCATTTCCTCGCAACGCTAAAATTTACATCACCGAGACGTTTATTCCTCGCAACGATGACTGGATATTTTTGTGTTTATTTATTATGTGTTTTGTTGGGGTAACCAGTTAACGGTATTATAAACTCTCAAAGTAAATTGTTTTTTTTTAAGTAACCAGTCACTTGGATCATGACATAATTTAACATAATGTAAACTCTTTGTTTGAATCGTTGATCAAGTGTGGCAAGTATTAATCTCATGTAAATTTTGTTAGCTTTGCAATTTTTCACCTCATACAATATTTCTCTATCTCACAATTTTAACCTCAGTAATTCACCTTCGTTGTATAATTTTCATTGACCATAAATTTCATGCTCTGCAGTTTTAACCTCACATAATATTTTTATTTGCACAAGTTTATTTCACACCAGATCTTTTGTTTTTATAAATCTTTGATAATTTGGTTTTGTAAATATTTTGTTGATGAATGTTTCCACCGTATAAATTATCTGATGTCCAATTTTAATCGCACATAAGAATTATTTGTTGTTTAAAAATTTCACAAGATTGTATGGCGAATTTAAATGTTGTTCAGTTGTCGTGGCAGAAGCGAAGGGCGCGGTTCCTAGTCGGGCTGGCGAGATTTCTCGCGTCACCTGCATATAGGATGCAGGTTAGAATAGAATTCAGGGGCGGTCACGATGTTGTAACGTTGTCGGCTTCGTGATAGCCGAGACCCAACTGCGGATGTGCGACCGTAATGGCCTGCTCGTGCGGCACGTCCGTAATAGAGAGATGCTTTGCGGTAGGCTTGTGATAGATAGAATCACCGCCGCGGGGGAGAACAGCCCCGACCGGTAGCCCCAAACTCCGCTTGTGCTATGGGTATTTTTGTTGTGCTCTTGTTAACTGCCATAATTTTAAATTTGACGCAGTACGCCCGTAATAACTTGTGTATTTGCATCCAGTTATTTTAATTCAGATTTTTCTTTGTTTCTATTAAATTTGTGATATTCAGATATTTGCATTGATTCAAAAACATATACGTAGGGTTTTGCACTTGTTCGGTTTCCCATATGTGTATGTCTATCAACTCGCGGTTGTCTATTTCTTTCATATTTTTATGTGTTTCTCATCCTCCTAGAGAGGGGTGCGATTTTTAGCGCCCTCCCAAAAATGTTGTCTATTATTTCCTGCGATCTCTACTCGCACGCAGTGTATGCTCACTTGTATGAAAAAACGTCTTCCCGCCATTTTTCAAAAAAAAAACAACG